ATCCAACATACACTAGCACTCTCACATATGTGGAAAGCGCAGTCTGCGCAGAAACTTATACTGACAGTTCTTACGGCGCATGCTGACAGGCAATGTCATCTTAAAAAACGATCCCACTCACATTACAGGTACCAAATCGTAAAACAAGCACCCACCTGGACGAAGAAGATGAAGTGTTTGAAGCTGGTGTTGAGATGAGCTTCCTCCCTCAGTTTTACCACCTCGTGGAAATGCTGGTGGTAAATGTGGGCGTACACCCGAAACAGCCGCTTCAGAATAGTCTTGGCGATCTGCGAGAAATTCTTCGGGAAGGGGACGCCTGAGGAAGGGTGGGCACGTGTCAGTCAGTGGAGTCAAACAGTCGTCAAAGAAGAAGGTTTTTCCGGACTTTTTCTAGAAGTCGGAACTGTGAGACGTCGTTTCCGGGAACGAGAACGTGATCGGGGAGAGACGGTGGCGTATAGACAGCGGATTTGGGAGACATGATAAACGTTAGCATCGGACATCATCTTAGAATTACTGAGAACGTGTTTTAGAGTACCGATTGCCGAAAGCTTGGATAACACGAAAAATAGCATGCCGCTCTATCTTTCGAAACATTCGCAGAACCCTGCCAAACCATTTACGAATTTCGAGAATGACATTTAGAAGACTAAAACACAGAGCTGCAGAGTCACACTCTGTCGGTCGGAATCAACAGCTCTGACCAATGTCAAAGTGAGAGTCGATTCTTAGAGTCGGAGCCAGAGTCGTCAATCGAAGTCACCGAAAACCCATCGACTCTGCATCCCTGCTAAGTGCTAACAATGCCCCGAGTTCCCGACCATGCCATCCGCTTACCGATCTTGCTGGGGAAGGTGGTCTCATCATCCAGCTGGTCCTGAGCCCACGTCATCAGATAGTCGATGTATTTCGGAGCCGAGCATTTTATGGGCTTCTTCACTGTTTGACCGTCCGCCCAGTGATATTCGTATTTGGGACCTGTGAGAAACGCGGGGGATTTTCAAACTCATATTAGGGGGCTGTGAGAAATGTAGGGGTTCTCAACCAACCTAAAAATATCACTTGAGAATTATTTGAGATACTTGAGAGGTGGGTTCTCAAACAGTGGCACTCATATTCAATATTTTGGATACGAGACAAGCTGCAGCTGCTAGGGTTTTCAAATTTTGCTTGTTGTGTTTGGGACCTGTGAGAAACACAGGGGTTCTCACTCATATGTTCTCACTCACCCATATGTCAAATAATAAAGCATTACATCGCTAGCGTCCCTGAACTATGCATGCTGACGACAAAACTTTAATGAACATCGCCGCTGTGTCATGTTCTCGTCGATCTCAAACCCCTTCTGGAACAAATAATAAAATATCGCTCCTATTCTCCTACCTCCTCCCTCTCCCCCTCCCACCTCTCCAGCATTACATCTATGCACCGTTAGCAAAATAACCGCGGCACGATCCAAATAAGTCACCTGTCGCTTAATCACGGTCACAATCAAGGTCATCGCAGCACCAACAAATAAATCCGGACGTCACGACGATGAAAAGGGAAACGAGACAACGAACGGGAAACGATGGAAGTGATAGCACGATTGCAGGTTTCTGCACACGGGGAGGGGAGAAAATACGGGGAAGTTTTCGATCGGGACTCGTATTATCGAGCGAGGAACAGGCTAGACAAAATCACCGATCGATAAATCGATGACAAAACGATGACGACAATTAGCATACACCTTATCGTCGATCGTTTTCTAGATATACCTATTTTGACCTCGATAATGACGATGTACACTTTTGAACGAATTTACGGCAGAAGTCACCGGTACCCAGTTTTCAGCATATGAAGCGATATAGCAGACTAGAGTACCACCATCTGCACCTTTACATTCGTATCAACACTCAAAAGCGACTCAACTACACATATCACTGATAACAATTACTTATCTACATCATGTTCTATATTTTCTACTTTTCTTCTTTTCCACCTTTCTACTTTTCTGGTTTTAAATTTATCTTAAATTATTAGACCAACATTTTGCCATCCACCATTGAATATCAAACACATCATCCAACATTTCCCTTTATCACGAGCTGATATCTTCACTTTGAAAGATGTCATATTTCTGAAAACACTGATGTTTAAATCAACAACCCACGATAGCATTTAAGGCATCAAAAATATCCAATGATAATCATGTCATCTTCACATCTGTCTAAACTCACATCACTCTCTCACTCACTCACAACACCTGCATCCTGCCAACATCACTGATGTTTGAGACTTGCATCCTGTCAACATCATTAATGTCTGAGTCTCACACAATTTGACAATCCTAGCAGTATCACTGATGTCACACCATCCACCTGTTGGCTGTCAACATCACTGACATCATTACACCCACCAGCAGCTGCAGGCATCATGAACATTGTGTCACTCAAGTCAACTACCCACATTATCAACATCATGACTGACATCATGCTACCCACCTGCTGACATCATGCTACCCACCTGCCGACATCACAGGACACGTGTCCTCGGTACAAAACTCTGTGATGGTGCCGTACAGCATGTTGATCTGGTTGAAAAAGTCCACAGCTGAAAGGGAAACATGAAAAGGTTATAAGGCACATATGATCAAGAATCAATCAAGATAAGCATATGCTCAAGAAGTAGGTAGATCTTAAGGTCTATGAGATAGCAAAATCTTTTTGAGAATATAAAAAATGTAAGCACTTAGGCACAAATGAGAGCCTACATGAGCCATTCAACAGCTGTTTCAAGCCATGTTTTTGATAAGAGGTATCTCAATCTTCAATTCAATTTGAGCACTTCTATAAAAGAATCTGCTTCATTATGCAACAATGTCTTACCTTTATTTACAATACATTTTTGACATTGATTGTTATATTGTTGTTATATTGTTGATTGTTATATTGACATTGACTGTGAGTTATATTCACCAGCCAAACAACTAAAATATTTTAATGTCTGCTAAATTGGCAAACTCACTGTTAACCGCCACCCATTCATTAAGATCCTCTCCCTCCGGCAGCTGCACAGCCAGCCTCAGGTTCCCTGACCCCAGGGTCGCTGCGGCGTGCTTCATCAGGTCATACTGGTGGGTTCCCTCAGCGATGTTCTTCTTCGGCTTGAACGTCTTGTTGGAGCGTCCTCCGCTGTTGAGAATGGGTTGGGAAAATGGTGAGAAAATGGGAAAAGGTGTAAGAAAAAAGAGGGGAACAATCACCATTAATAATCAAAATATTATGTAGCATTTAAAGCTATGTTTTGTAAAATACAGCTTGAAGATATGGTTTAAAAGGTTTGCTTCGCAAGATTATTATGACACCAATCACATTAAGTAATTATAAATCAAATAATCTGTTAACACTTATGCAGACTATAGAAATCAGATGGAAAATTATAATTTTAGCATGAGGCTTAAGTAGCCGCAATCTACGCTTCTTTCAGCTAATATTAGGGATAATAGCTGATGCAGGTAAAGCTTACAAAAAGAAGCTCATGGTGGTTCTTGCAGTTGACACTTAGAAAATAAGCACCAGTCCCAGCTCCTATCTTTGAAGGTCAAGGTTCAGTCAACAAAGACGACCGAATCAGCCAGAATACCGAATAAATCAGCCACGAACCGAGCGACTGGCCAATAGATAATTGTTACGCAAGGAAACAAGACAAAAGAAAGCAAAATCTAGCGATGCTTAATATTTACAAAGAAATTTATAACCGGATAATAAATCACAGCTGATCCCTTGCGACTAAACGGCTCTCTCTATCGTCTGGAGGTTTCGAAAGATGCTCTCCAGAGATGGCGCTAGTAAATTTGGCTGACATGACGTCATGCTAAAAAGTGATGGTTTTTGTGAGAGCAAATGTAATAATAGTTGAAAATTTTGTACTTTTGCTTAATTAAGAAAAAATAAATATACAATTGTTCAAAACAGCGTTTTCTTCATTCATCCTTCATTGTTTTAAGAGGAATATAGACAGTTTAAATATTTTTTCTTGACCGCAATTCGCACACGCACTAAATTAAAAGCTGGAGTTTTGTGCGTTCGTAAATCGTGATTTGAGAAAATAAGTTGACAATAATCTTTTGCACTTTTGCTTTACAATCATTTTTCAATGCAGATAAATGCATAAATTATTCGAAAATAGGCATATCTTTGAAATATTATGATTTTCCACAAGCAAATTTTCCCAAAAACTTGAACTACTTACAACTGACGAACGCATCCAATAATCTGGATGTCTTAGGATGAGTTCGTCATTTTTTCCGAAGGAAATACGATACAGTTCAAGCTATTTTACCGATTTATTAGGGTACTTTTGCCAATGAATTAATAAATAAATGACAACAATTAATCTCATTATCAACCATACTCGGAAGAACTTTCTTCGCATAAGCGCGAACACATCCGCGCTTTCATGAAAAGTCACGCCTGTAGATGTCAGGACTGCTGCTTTATGTTTCGCAAGGTGGCGCAGCGCGCAGGGTACCGACTACCGAGGCTGAGGTCTCCAGACTCTCCACCACGATTTAACTTGGAAATGGCCGATGGGGAAGGTCTCACCCAAAAACGGACGCCCTTTTACACAGCTGCATAAAGAGAATGAATTATTAGCATAGCTGACCACACGTCCCCTCCCCCTCTCCGCCCCAGCTCAATAGGAAATATCGCCTATTTTCCTTAGTCAGTTATATTCTGACTAATTTCTCACTCTTCCCAGTAAACCTTAACATGCATGATGCAGATGTCCACTGCGTAAGTCGTGTGCTTTCGTAAGTGTGCCAACTATATAGTGTTGCCTGCCTACACTCTACAGTACAGCCTACTGCTTCCCCATTGTCGTTATAATTGGTGATTCTCAGGTCAAAAGTTACACAGTGGTCTCAGAGAACAATCGTTTCAACAAATTAACGATTCAAACCGTTGCATTCTACTTATATTCCGGTCAGTTCTGCTACTAAACGATTCCGGCAAAACACTCTTTAGGTTATGTATTAGCGAACCACCACACAAAATTCGCCCAATCAATGGTCAGTTATTACTGCTGGGCTGAACCGTCATACGCTATATAGCCTATTATATAGCCTAGTCAATATTTTCAGAACGATACTGACTGACGAAACACAACGTATTCGCGGATTCGCACATACGTTGGCACCCAGGTGGCCTGTCAGCAGCCGCACAAATCCGCACAGCGCAGCCGGGATTTGACATTGAGATGGTACACCGTAAAGCATGCCTTTCCACACAGGCACAAGCACAGGGACACAAATTCTCAAAATCCAAACTTATTCCAATACTGGTCAATTACGAATAGGCATAAAGTTTTGAGGTTTTCTCATGTTCATTCTTCTTTCAACACACGCGGCAGACTGCAGCAGCTGCAGAACATCTCACAGAGCTGCGCTGGATGCAGTCATGAGCTGGGACACGGTTTGTGACCAATGACCGATCGGGGGTGCCAGCCTCCTCCCGGCACGCGATGCACTGGCCGCCGCGCAGTCGATGTCGGGGCACCGCCGGCATTCGCCGACAGGGTTCCATCCGATTCGGTGTATTGGTGGCAGCCCGAACAGTGACCCACGCGAAGCTGGCGGACGTCGATGGCCGATGAGCGATGCCCTTCCGCGACCGGCGGTGGCAGTCGGTCCCACATCAAGAACAGATACCAGTCATGCGGTCAGTCGGCGACGGCGCTGTCGCGAGCCGATCTGATGGTCGCGCGGTGGGCGTTGCCGACGTCCACCGGGACCGTCGACTGGGGGAGCGCGGCCGCCTCTTGGCCGCCGCCTCTGGTCGGCGAGCTCGTTGCGCTGTGGGACGGCATCCACTGCAAGTCGTTCACTGTGAAGCGGTCGTTTGACCGGACCTGGCAGGCGGGGAAAGGGGGCCTCAGATGAAGTAAAACCATCCCTCAGGCCAGCTTGAACTGGCTCTCCACCTCACCATGTTAGATAAGCGGACACCCTCGTGATTATCGCAGCGATGATTGCCAATTGGTGTGTCATTATGGGAGAGGATGCCAGCCTCCTTTGCAAGATAGTCTGCCTTTAACATAGTGCAGCCCGACCCATTGCCTGTGGCGCAGACTGGGCTTGATAATGCAGTGCAGGACACACCAAACGTAAGCGGCCATCTGTACCCCCTGTGCAGTAGGGCTGACTCAAGAGCCCAGAGTTGCCCTCCCCCCCACCATTCTGTGCACGTGATAACTGGATGGGACATGCCATGGTCAGCATCTGTTCAAAAGCTGCCCTAAGCATGTAAAGCTCCACTGGCATGCTCAAGCATGGTCACAGTCAGTTCTCACTTCTCAGTTGAACCTCCAATGGAAACCCATCACAAAGTAGAGATCAGGGCGCCTCTCACACTGCAGCACACTCAACGACTGAGGCACCATCTCATCACTTGCAGGTGGTTCTTGCCAGGAGCAATGCCAGCCACGCACATCAGGTGATAACAGCAGTGTACAACTGCAATCTACAAGCATCCATGTTCTTTCTGGTTTTCTCCTGTTGAGATCCACTGCCATGCATGAACTTGATGGGCTTTTGTTGCGCTCCTCCCATGTGCAGACAGGTTTCTGCTGAAACAAAGCAAAGCAAATGTGATTAATAATGGCCCTGTTTCACCATCCAGACACTGTGTGCACTGGTAGCTACGGCATACCATAGCATCACTCAAATGACGTTGCATGTGACCTCTTAGTTTATGATCAATCGCGTTTGGAACAGAGTGAGAGGTTCTGAAAAACCGTACCAAGAACAGAGGTTTGAGTTCAAATACTGCTAGCATGCTGCTGGTGCTGGTACCGCAGCGTGCTAGCGTTCTGGGATGCTGTCATAGCTTAGCGTCACAGTGAAGTTTGTTGACACTGCCATGGAAACCCAATGCTCTGACACACGCAGCGCACTGCAGTGCTGAGCACTGCAGTGCGTGCTCTGCCGTGAAACACCACCCATGAACGTTGGTTGCATGACCAGGATGGAGCAGTGTGGCAGACAGTGATTTCAATTTTAATTGCACTTCCTAGAGATTAAAATGTTGTTGGTGAAATTGCTATTCATTATTCCTATTACCATTGTCTAAATTTCACATTTTGATTTCAAGACAGCATCAGCATTGACATGTTATATAAAATAAGGTTTAGACTTCAGGTGGTCCCGGGTTCAGCTATTAAGTAAAACAAGGGCAAAAAATTGTCAAAAAAATATTTTTAAAAAATACCTGCCTTCATCAACACCTCATCTAATCTAACCTCATCCTCATCTAACAAGGCCCTAATAGCAAAAACCGTTTGAATAACAATGTAATATTTTGCAACCGCTGCACCATTACTGTCACGTACGCTATCCCTAGATTGGTTGCTGGTAAGTAGTGGTTGTCGTCATCAACTCGTCATGCAGCAGCTGATTGGGATGGGCGGGGCCTATTTTTATCCAGGCGATAGAGAGAGCCGTTAGATGAGGATGAGGTTAGATTAGATGAGGTGTTGATGAAGGCAGGTATTTTTTAAAAATATTTTTTTGACAATTTTTTGCCCTTGTTTTACTTAATAGCTGAACCCGGGACCACCTGAAGTCTAAACCTTATTTTATATAACATGTCAATGCTGATGCTGTCTTGAAATCAAAATGTGAAATTTAGACAATGGTAATAGGAATAATGAATAGCAATTTCACCAACAACATTTTAATCTCTAGGAAGTGCAATTAAAATTGAAATCACTGTCTGCCACACTGCTCCATCCTGGTCATGCAACCAACGTTCATGGGTGGTGTTTCACGGCAGAGCACGCACTGCAGTGCTCAGCACTGCAGTGCGCTGCGTGTGTCAGAGCATTGGGTTTCCATGGCAGTGTCAACAAACTTCACTGTGACGCTAAGCTATGACAGCATCCCAGAACGCTAGCACGCTGCGGTACCAGCACCAGCAGCATGCTAGCAGTATTTGAACTCAAACCTCTGTTCTTGGTACGGTTTTTCAGAACCTCTCACTCTGTTCCAAACGCGATTGATCATAAACTAAGAGGTCACATGCAACGTCATTTGAGTGATGCTATGGTATGCCGTAGCTACCAGTGCACACAGTGTCTGGATGGTGAAACAGGGCCATTATTAATCACATTTGCTTTGCTTTGTTTCAGCAGAAACCTGTCTGCACATGGGAGGAGCGCAACAAAAGCCCATCAAGTTCATGCATGGCAGTGGATCTCAACAGGAGAAAACCAGAAAGAACATGGATGCTTGTAGATTGCAGTTGTACACTGCTGTTATCACCTGATGTGCGTGGCTGGCATTGCTCCTGGCAAGAACCACCTGCAAGTGATGAGATGGTGCCTCAGTCGTTGAGTGTGCTGCAGTGTGAGAGGCGCCCTGATCTCTACTTTGTGATGGGTTTCCATTGGAGGTTCAACTGAGAAGTGAGAACTGACTGTGACCATGCTTGAGCATGCCAGTGGAGCTTTACATGCTTAGGGCAGCTTTTGAACAGATGCTGACCATGGCATGTCCCATCCAGTTATCACGTGCACAGAATGGTGGGGGGGAGGGCAACTCTGGGCTCTTGAGTCAGCCCTACTGCACAGGGGGTACAGATGGCCGCTTACGTTTGGTGTGTCCTGCACTGCATTATCAAGCCCAGTCTGCGCCACAGGCAATGGGTCGGGCTGCACTATGTTAAAGGCAGACTATCTTGCAAAGGAGGCTGGCATCCTCTCCCATAATGACACACCAATTGGCAATCATCGCTGCGATGATCACGAGGGTGTCCGCTTATCTAACATGGTGAGGTGGAGAGCCAGTTCAAGCTGGCCTGAGGGATGGTTTTACTTCATCTGAGGCCCCCTTTCCCCGCCTGCCAGGTCCGGTCAAACGACCGCTTCACAGTGAACGACTTGCAGTGGATGCCGTCCCACAGCGCAACGAGCTCGCCGACCAGAGGCGGCGGCCAAGAGGCGGCCGCGCTCCCCCAGTCGACGGTCCCGGTGGACGTCGGCAACGCCCACCGCGCGACCATCAGATCGGCTCGCGACAGCGCCGTCGCCGACTGACCGCATGACTGGTATCTGTTCTTGATGTGGGACCGACTGCCACCGCCGGTCGCGGAAGGGCATCGCTCATCGGCCATCGACGTCCGCCAGCTTCGCGTGGGTCACTGTTCGGGCTGCCACCAATACACCGAATCGGATGGAACCCTGTCGGCGAATGCCGGCGGTGCCCCGACATCGACTGCGCGGCGGCCAGTGCATCGCGTGCCGGGAGGAGGCTGGCACCCCCGATCGGTCATTGGTCACAAACCGTGTCCCAGCTCATGACTGCATCCAGCGCAGCTCTGTGAGATGTTCTGCAGCTGCTGCAGTCTGCCGCGTGTGTTGAAAGAAGAATGAACATGAGAAAACCTCAAAACTTTATGCCTATTCGTAATTGACCAGTATTGGAATAAGTTTGGATTTTGAGAATTTGTGTCCCTGTGCTTGTGCCTGTGTGGAAAGGCATGCTTTACGGTGTACCATCTCAATGTCAAATCCCGGCTGCGCTGTGCGGATTTGTGCGGCTGCTGACAGGCCACCTGGGTGCCAACGTATGTGCGAATCCGCGAATACGTTGTGTTTCGTCAGTCAGTATCGTTCTGAAAATATTGACTAGGCTATATAATAGGCTATATAGCGTATGACGGTTCAGCCCAGCAGTAATAACTGACCATTGATTGGGCGAATTTTGTGTGGTGGTTCGCTAATACATAACCTAAAGAGTGTTTTGCCGGAATCGTTTAGTAGCAGAACTGACCGGAATATAAGTAGAATGCAACGGTTTGAATCGTTAATTTGTTGAAACGATTGTTCTCTGAGACCACTGTGTAACTTTTGACCTGAGAATCACCAATTATAACGACAATGGGGAAGCAGTAGGCTGTACTGTAGAGTGTAGGCAGGCAACACTATATAGTTGGCACACTTACGAAAGCACACGACTTACGCAGTGGACATCTGCATCATGCATGTTAAGGTTTACTGGGAAGAGTGAGAAATTAGTCAGAATATAACTGACTAAGGAAAATAGGCGATATTTCCTATTGAGCTGGGGCGGAGAGGGGGAGGGGACGTGTGGTCAGCTATGCTAATAATTCATTCTCTTTATGCAGCTGTGTAAAAGGGCGTCCGTTTTTGGGTGAGACCTTCCCCATCGGCCATTTCCAAGTTAAATCGTGGTGGAGAGTCTGGAGACCTCAGCCTCGGTAGTCGGTACCCTGCGCGCTGCGCCACCTTGCGAAACATAAAGCAGCAGTCCTGACATCTACAGGCGTGACTTTTCATGAAAGCGCGGATGTGTTCGCGCTTATGCGAAGAAAGTTCTTCCGAGTATGGTTGATAATGAGATTAATTGTTGTCATTTATTTATTAATTCATTGGCAAAAGTACCCTAATAAATCGGTAAAATAGCTTGAACTGTATCGTATTTCCTTCGGAAAAAATGACGAACTCATCCTAAGACATCCAGATTATTGGATGCGTTCGTCAGTTGTAAGTAGTTCAAGTTTTTGGGAAAATTTGCTTGTGGAAAATCATAATATTTCAAAGATATGCCTATTTTCGAATAATTTATGCATTTATCTGCATTGAAAAATGATTGTAAAGCAAAAGTGCAAAAGATTATTGTCAACTTATTTTCTCAAATCACGATTTACGAACGCACAAAACTCCAGCTTTTAATTTAGTGCGTGTGCGAATTGCGGTCAAGAAAAAATATTTAAACTGTCTATATTCCTCTTAAAACAATGAAGGATGAATGAAGAAAACGCTGTTTTGAACAATTGTATATTTATTTTTTCTTAATTAAGCAAAAGTACAAAATTTTCAACTATTATTACATTTGCTCTCACAAAAACCATCACTTTTTAGCATGACGTCATGTCAGCCAAATTTACTAGCGCCATCTCTGGAGAGCATCTTTCGAAACCTCCAGACGATAGAGAGAGCCCATCTAACAAGGCCCTAATAGCAAAAACCGTTTGAATAACAATGTAATATTTTGCAACCGCTGCACCATTACTGTCACGTACGCTATCCCTAGATTGGTTGCTGGTAAGTAGTGGTTGTCGTCATCAACTCGTCATGCAGCAGCTGATTGGGATGGGCGGGGCCTATTTTTATCCAGGCGATAGAGAGAGCCGACTAAACCGACGGGTTTGTTGACAAAGATGACAAATTACACGTGCGACTTGAGACCAGCGAGCAATGATTTCAAGTCAGCTGATACCACGCTGAATATAGTTCAAATGACGTCATTTACGAAATAATTGACTTGTGCTTGCTTTTTTGTTAGAAACAGCATAATCAGAAACAAAAATGTCAATTGCAACTAAATTCAATGACAAAAAAAATCTAGTCTGTCTCAAATAAATGACAAAATCCTAAAAAGTGTAATGCCAAAAATATTCAGTTCTGACAGCTGATCGGCGTCAGACGGATCAACAATGGAAACTTGCTTGATAAGGAACCCTAATGTATGAACACCGCAAAGATCAAGGGCGATTTCTTGTGTAGCAAGAGTTTCGCCTTGGTGATCACTTACGGCGCTTACGGCTTCATTTTCAAGAAAAAACTGTTCGCAGCATAATAATATCACCAAACTGCTCAGTTTTTTACATAAAATGTAGCGCACTGGCTAGCTCACAATGAATCATGCACACAGATGGCAGCACCTTAGCATCACAGATGGCAGCACAATGCAGAGAGGGTAGGTGATGGACACATTACTGCCTCCTGGACCAAACGAAATGCGCCTTATTTTTCAACATTTATTTTTCTCGTCATCACGTCATCACGTTATCATCCGAGTACTGCTTGCAGGGTGCACAGATATCACTTTACCCCAGTTCTTCCTTAAACAGACCACCAAAGCGCCCCAAATTCATCAGGCGACAGCAATCGAAAGACCATTCATTCCCAGTCATTTATTCATTCTTCTGTGCGAAAGACGGAACACCTGGTAGGGCATTCTACTACAATGCAACTGGCAGGGTATTCTACTGCGCACGGTGCACCCGTCGCATACCGCCATGGGTTCACATGACGTCATAGCAATGACGTCGCCTTTTCCAAGCCTTTTCCACTGGGACAGGTCCTCCTCGGTGAATTCTTGGATCAGCTGACACACGTCAGATCCCTGAATCATATACTGACTAAGCATCTCTGGGATTTCACTCAAAACAACAGACCAAGGTTTCGCAAATGAATGCACTATACACGGCACACTAGCGCAAGTAAGCTGCTATTCCCCAGACGCACTATATTGAGTATGTTCAAAACTGGCCTTTATAATCACGCACGCACGACGTATTTACGATATTTTCAAGATTAATCCGATAGCATAGCACGCTTCGAGTATGACAGCACGCATTTTAGGATCAACCCTACCCATCGTCTCCTCACATAATGGCACAAAGGGGAACTGATAGCCTCTCCTACACCTGATTAGGGTGTACGTACCCGCAAATACACTACGAATACGGATACTATGCGATTAGTCAACCCGTTCAAACACAGCTTTCGACTGGTTAGCCTCCGGTCTGTGCCATAATGCTGGATCGAAAAAGTTAAGACATAAAGACAGCAGCCTCAAGTTAAATTCAGAAACCGTACATGAGAGTCGAACTTTTTGCGAGCCAGAAAAACGCAAAAACGATTTACGATTGATCTGAATGAACGCCCAAATAACAAAGAGTCACGCAACTCCGTCCATCCAGCGTTATGTAACAGGCCCCCAGCACGATTGACCGACACCAATATTTTTCAAAGGCACGTGCCCATGTGCATTTTCTCTTACGCTAGCCAGCACACACTTTCACTGTGAGCATTTCAGCAAATCGAGCTACGACACAAGCAAGACAAAAGGTTAGTTTAAATGTTAAGGCATGCTTATTTTTAAGATCCAGAGACAGCAAACTTCACTTCCTACAAAGAAAAGCAGCAGGGCTAGCACGGAAAAATCAAGAGCACACTACACATATTGTCCCAAAGGCAAGATTAGCATGACAAAATCAAACTAAACGCAAGAGTTCTAGGATAAGGCCGCGAATTCAAGACACGGTGTTCGAAGTTCAACTCGACTAAATTGCAAGTGCCACGTCATCAATGACATTATCAGTGTCGCCAATGACGTCATAGCTATAGTCATGGGACGCGGGGATAAATCATAGCTTACTGGGGTTGATAATAGATGTCACTAATATCATAAGCAGATCTATATGGCACAGTTTAGCAGCTCAAACGCGGACATCACACAAGTCAATGACGTCAATCATATCTAGTGCTGACGTGATTAATACAAAGCTACTACCCCCAAGTATCTACTCGCTATTTAGCACATCAAAACGCATCAAAGAAAGCAAAACATGACCCAGAATACTAAGAAATCAGACTAGGGACATTCCTGTAAACACGCGAGGGTTCAGCGCTGCGTTGACGCCGGTACGAAGGAGAAGGGGAAGAGCACAAAGTATTCATCTCTAGTCACCAAGTGAATGGCCTAACATACCTAGCAGAAACACAGTGCCTTTCACAGTTCGTTCTCAATCCCTCCGTTCCATTCCCAAACTCCCAGCAGATGTTCTAGTCTGAGCACCCTCCTTCAATTCCCTCGGACTTTTCTTTCAGGCAGCCTAGTCCCTCCTTACAACCTCAATCAAGATGCCACAATCTTTCCCAACGTCTGACCGGCACCATAATCCTTCCCTCAATGCCTATGAGACGGCGAAGTTCTATTCAGCATTTCAATCCTATCAGACGTCAAAATCCTTCCTTCATCCCCCTAGATATCCTTCCTAGCCAAGCAGTCAAACCCTCCCTCACTCTCTAGTGGATGTTGCAGTCCACATCGCCATCCTGCAGCAAACCATTCAACGTCTGCCAAGCATCCCAGTCTCTTCCTCAAGGTCCAGCAGATGTTACAGTTCCGCCCCCAAATTTTTGCGTGCATCAGCACTTCCCTCAGCCTCTAGCAGAAATCCCATCCCTTCCTTCAACTGCCTACAGACATCAGTCCTAGTAGATATTACAGTCCTTCCCCTAACTCTCTGCCTACATCAGCCCTTCCCACATCATCTAGCAGATGTTACAGTCCACATCCCCATCCCCCGGCAGACAGTTGAGCGTCTGCGCCGTCGCCCTCAACAAATACGTCATCGTCCCGAACCTTCCACTCGGAGCAGAATCATAGAAATGCCGACAGACATAAGCCGCTCCGCCACACTCCAATGCACCATCAGGCCTTGTGCGTTTTGGCGTACACGCACAACACAACGTGGCATCACCGTGGTCCCTGCGCTGGTCTTCGAGGAAGAGGTCGTTGGCGTGGTGAACCAGACGTTCTACTTCCACGACTCGATCGGGTAGGGGTGCTCCGTGGTCGGGTAGGAGTGTGAGAACCATGAGGGCCTCGACTGTGAGCTGGCGGTACTCGGGCTCCGGGATCTGGGTGAGCACCGACTCCACCTGTGGGGAGAGAGGGGAGGGGAGGTTAGAGGGGTTGGAGAGAGAGGGAGAGGGAGAGAGGGAGAAAAAAGGTTAGAGGGAGTGGGGAAAAATGGGGTCGATGGGGACAGATTACAGCCACTGTTACCCCCAGACCTAAAAAACATGTCTCTTGATCGCCCACTGTGGTCGATGAGACACGTTGTTTATGTCTGGGGTTTAGTAAAGGGGATTACAGAACGGGAAGCGCGAAACCATTTTTTTGCCTCACTCACTCACTCACTCACTCACTCACTCACTCACTCACTCACTCACTCACTCACTCACTCACTCACTCACTCACTCACTCACTCACTCACTCACTAGTTCACTCCCTCCTCCCTCCCTCCCTCCCTTCCTTCCTTCCTTCCTTCCTTCCTTCCTTCCTTCCTTCCTTCCTTCCTTCCTTCCTTCCATCCTTCCTTCCTTCCTTCCTTCCTTCCTTCTTTCCTTCCTTCCTTCCTTCCTTCCTTCCTTCCTTCCTTCCTTCCTTCCTTCCTTCCTTCCTTCCTTCCTTCCTTCCTTCCTTCCTCCCCTCATCCCCCTTCTCTCCCCCTATCCCTCCATCTTTCTCACCTGCAGTGCAAACTTGGTCTCTCCGGCGGTCATCTCTTGACACAGACTGTGTGGTATCAGACGCTGGGCCACGTACACACCTTCCTTGACACCGTCTAGGAACCTGACAAAGAGAGAGTCAGTATCAGTATATGTATGTGTGGTATCAGTCGCTGGGCCACATAGACTCCTTCTTTGACACCATCTAGGAACCTAGAAATAGTGAGAGAAATATAGCGAGTGAGAGAGAATATTTGATTTGGAGTGAAGCATAGGGAGAGAGTCAGTGAAAGCGAATATTTGAAATTGGAGCGAAGCTTGAAGCGGCGAGGGCGAGTGGAAAATCGGCATAGGCATGTATTTACATTTAAGAGCGATCCACATACAAAGTGCGTGGTGATTACTGCATGCAGTGCATTGATGTATATATGTGTGCATTTATAATCATGAGCGATCCACACATGGCGCGGCGAGTACTGCTCTTTGGCTTCATTGGCTCTCCTAAATTTGCAGTGTGATATTAGGCAATGAAATTGATATCTACTGCAGCTTTTAGAGAGAGCATGATAAAACGATATTTTAGTACGGTTCCAAAATGTCATCCAGGAAAGCTCCAAAGTTCAATAAAAAGGATAAGTCCCTCTTTTAGGTCTAGTCGGCAGAAATACTATACATATTTCTATATATGTATTTCGACTATATTGTATAGTCGCAATATAGCTTACTTGGCCCGCAGCCGTAACTTATGTTACACATCCGCCGCTGTCTATATTCCTTATATGCTCGCTACATATAAAATCATCCCACACTCACCCATACTCTATCATCTTTCTCACCTCCCTCCCTCTGTCTCCCCTCTCCCTCCCTCCCTCCCTCCCTCCCTCCCTCCCTCCCTCCCTCCCTCCCCTTCCCTTCCCTTCCCTTCCCTTCCCTTCCCTTCCCTTCCCTTCCCTTCCCTTCCCTTCCCTTCCCTCCCCTCCCCTCCCCTCCCCTCCCCTCCTCCCCTCCCTCCCCAACTCACCTATACACCCTCTGATAGAACCCCTGTGGCACTCTGTTGAGCGCCCCATCCAGCCTCCTTCTCCTCAACCACTGTCCGGACCTCTCTTCATCGGGACTCTCCTCCAACTCTGCCGGTTCAGCCGTCAGCACATCACTCACTAGACCTTTGATCTCAGACTTCTTCGAGACCTTAGCCGACCGGCGCGAGAGCACGTTGAAGCGTCCGCTGGGTCCGGAGGTGAGGCCGAAGTCTTTGCCGGAGATGATGTGGTACAGGAGGTTCTTCATGTCGAAGGGACAGAGATTGACGAGGGTTTCCGTAGCCTCGTCGGCGGCACACTTGAGGAGACGCTGTAGCTCGCCGCACATCACCTGGGGGGGGGGGGGAGGGGGGAGAGATTAGAGAGGGGTTAGAGTGAGGGAGAAAGGGGTAGGCCTAGGCAGAGGAAGCGATCATTAGTGACGTGTGTACTATTGGTCTCAAGATAAGGGCCCAGGCGACCTGTTAGTTCGGACGAGGTGAATATCCTCACCCTCGCCACCACTCGAGTGGGGGTGGCGCTGGCTAGGAGGAGGGGGACACTCGGCCCGAGCTGTGGCGAGGGCAGGGGTATTCACCGCATTAAAACTACAGGTCGCCTGGGCCCTTATCTTGAGACCAATAGTACATAACCAATAGTGATAAGGACAGATTATCCGGAGAGATATCGATTAGTGTTACGATAAACACTTATTTCGTTTTCTTTCCAACTGAATTTGCAACATAAGCAAATTAAAGTGACACATTGTGGTTCGAAAACAAAAGAACCCAAATTGAATCAAATGTAAACAGACGTATGGTAGGTCCGAGTCAACAAAACTAGCCACAGATTTCGAAGAGCACGACCCTATCAGCTGCTGAATTGTTTTCGGCTCGTATCCGTAAGTGTTTGACTCGTAGACTTAAGAGGCATACAAACACAGTAAGAAATTATCCCAATTATCATAAAGCACCGAAACACTCATTAACCCTCGCCCGTATTGGTGTTTTTCCAGCCGCGAACGTATAAGGGGCAGGGTTGCCAGACTTGGCGATATGTCGCCAATTTGGCGAATTTGGAAAGTCACTGGCAATAGAAGCACGGCATTTGGCGATAGGCGATAAAACGTCAAATATTGGCGAATTTCCAGAGTTCACCTCTAAATTAACGAATATTATTTAAAAAAAAAAAATAAACAAAACAAAGCAAAAAAAAAACATCGTTACGAATTTCGTAATCTGATTAATTTAACCTTCCAACGTTTCATATAAGGCACGCTTACTTGTTAACAACTTTGTGGCGTGTTGCGGGAATGGCGGGAACGGTTGCTTGGCGTGTTGCGAATTTGACTGTTTCACATTTACGAAGTAGTTTTGGTGCCTTCGTAACATGTTACGAAGCTGTCAGAGGCGGATGACACGTACTACGAATACCCGTCACGACCCCTACCGGTTGAACTGACCTGACCCGACCTGGTCTAAACGCTTAACGACATCATCTGTGATCAAAACTAACACGATATTCGTGATCAGCACCCCGGAAAACCGGCCCTTAGCAGCCACGCTTTACGACTTTCTAACAGGTCCCGACATTCCCGATTTTTGGGTCATTGACCTGACCTGGAAGGTCAACCGATGACCTAGGACCTTAAAATTGGGTATCATTGGCTTCCTCTCGTGACGGGTAACACGTTCGTTTTTTTTTCGCGAAGCTCTAGCTCCATCAGGGGCCAAACGCGAGGGGGGTCGTACCAACCCCTTGTACCAACTCCTTGTACAGGGAGTCCCCTTGTGCCATCGAAGGACTCAAAATGGCCTGTGCCGGCGAGGGTTAAGGTACGCTGTTATGTAGATGAATATGAGAAACGAGATAGGTAAATCGTGAACTTGGAAACGAATCGTGAGCACGGTTCACGAACGCCAACTAGCGCTGCTACGTATGCTGATACAGTGCATCCTATTTGGCGAATTTTGGCGAAGTTCGAGGGGCGAATTTGGCGAAAAGGACCATTCTGGATCTGGCAACCCTGATAAGGGGGGGGGGGGGGGGTCCGTTGGACCCCCCTTGCCGTTTCGCCCCTGATCGAGCTAGAGCTTCGCGGAAAAAAAACGAGCGTGTTGCCCGTGACGAGAGGAAGCCGATGATACCCAATTTTAAGGTCCTAGGTCATCGGTTGACCTTCTAGGTCAGGTCAATGACCCAAAAGTCGGGAAAATCGGGACCTGTTAGAAAGTCGTAAAGCGTGGCTGCTATGGAGTTTTCGGGGTGCTGATCACGAATATCATGTTAGTTTTGATCACAGATGATGTCTTCATTCATTTAGGCCAGGCCAGGCCAGGTCAGGTCAGGTCAGGTCAGGTCAGGTCAACCAGTAAGGGCATTCGTAGTAGGTGGCAACCGCCTCTGACAGCTTCGTAACATGTTACGAAGGCACCAAAACTACTTCGTAAATGTTCATATGGTTGCTAAATTCGAATTCAGCCCCTAAAACTGGCCTAGAAACATGTAAAACTCGAAAAAGTGAACCGAGGTCATCAAAGGTCAATGACCTGACCTGACCTTCCGGTGACCTTGACACCCACCCTAATGCATGGGAACAACATCATATCCCATGTTTGAACGCTTAAAACCACTAAAAAACTGCAAACGCGCCACTAATGCGAGCCGACATACGCCGAATCGCGATTCCGGCCAAACATGGTCTCGAAAAGTAGGTCACAGGTCAAAGGTCATTAAGGTCAGGGTCATGAAAATTTCAGGGTAGGTGTAAAATTGATTAACGCGAGGGTACTGAAAGTTTCGTCGCGATCGGCCGCTTTTTACGCGAGTTATTCGCGAAAAACCGAGGGGGGGTCCGTTCGACCCCCCCCCCCCCCCATACGGGCGAGGGTTAATAAATCCCAAAACACTGGCGTCTTACCTGTATGATCAGCCCCACTCTCAATCTCAGCATCTCTGCAAACAGCTGCGGCTCCACCCGGATCAGCATGCTCATATAGAGCAGCAACTCCTGGGTCAGCATGGCTGTCGTCTCGTCCTTCCCGTGTGCTTTGTGGATGAGCTGACGTAACTCCCCGGCGGGGAGCGGAGCGATGATGGTTACCTCGTTGGGAGGGGCGCCGACCTGTAGGGGGCGGGGAGAGAGAGTGAGTCAGTATTGATGATGATTATTTGGTGTTTTAGGGCGCACCAGCAGCGAGGTTATATGGGGCTGAGTCAGTGTTGTAGTGAGACTAATCATAGGGAGGGGAATGTGTGAGGAGCACAGACAGGTGGGATGCGCCGGAGCGCCGACCTGTGGGGAGAGGGAGGGAGGTAAGGCGGGTTAGCATGGTGAAAAGACTAGCTATAGAGGTGGGTAGATGTGGGAAAGAGAGCGGTGATGATGACTTTGTTGTGGACAGGGGGAGGTGGGCAGAGCAAGTGAGAAGTGTAGAGGTGGGATGCTTTGGAGAGAGGAAAAGGGGTGAGAGTGAGCACTGGGCAATAAGCATGGTGATAGGGCGTTTCGATCTAAAAAAGACGAGAAAGAAAGAAAGAGAGAGAGAGAGAGAGAGAGAGAGAGAGAGAGAGAGAGAGAGAGAGAGAGAGAGAGAGAGAGAGAGAGAGAGAGAGAGAGAGAGAGAGAGAGAGAAAGAGAGAGAGAGAGAGAGAGAGAGAGAGAGAGAGAGAGAGAGAGAGAGAGAGAGAGAGAGAGAGAGAGAGAGAGAGAGAGAGAGAGAGAGAGAGAGAGAGAGAGAGAGCACACAGTCGGACGCCGACGCCCTACATTTCCTGTTTTGAGTGCGTGTGCACTACCACAGCACACCACTCAACCCACGCCTACATCAGCCGCTCGCAAGCGTTAACAGTAAACACCCACATCTAGCCAAAGTTCCAGACGACATAAGTCCGACCGAGCGATGCAGTTCAGTGTCGGCAAGCACAGATGGTCCTGAGAGGTCCCAATAGGCCAGCGGAGGGGCGGAACTGGGCCGCTCACCGCCTCTCTCCCTCCTCTCTCTCTCTCTCTCTCTCTCTCTCTCTCTCTCTCTCTCTCTCTCTCTCTCTCTCCCTCCCCCTCTCTCTCTCTCTCTCTCTCTCTCTCTCTCTCTCTCTCTCTCTCCCTTCCCCTAGCCTCTCCCTTCCCCTCCTCTCTACCGCCACAGAGGAGCGGCGGACAAACCAAAACAACGCCACGAGAGGGCAACGGCCGAGGGTCGGGGAGGAGAGGCATTGACCACTGTACTGAGGGGTTACCGAACGATGAGGGGAGGAAACGCTGTTGACTAGCGAGGAATGCCTTGACTTTGAGGATACACGCCAGGCCACAGGTTTGTGTGGCCCAAATGAATGAAGAGCTTCTCATCAATGTCAGATCAGAACAGAACGCGACACAGTAAATAAGCTCATGTATGATTGAATGGATAAGCGAGCGAATCTTAAGAGTAAATACACAAATTAACGTTATTAACAAAGTCGAAAAAATATGGGAAATGAGCCGAAAGAGAAAATGAGAAAACGCAACCAAATTTAATCATATACAGAAACGAATTGCTAGAATAAATGCTAAAGTAAGTGATCCAATGCATTTATTACGATAGTCTGGCAAACCTAATAAAGAACGGATTTAAAGCGCAACAGCCATGGATGAGCCTGCCTCTCTTCTGCCGTCAATGTATCCGAGAAATTTTTCACACTGCTTTTCAGCCAGACTTTATCTATACCATCCATTTGCAGTGATCAAAACACGTGCCAAGATATTCCCTCTGTTCTTTAACAGGTTTGCCAAACTAAATCACACACGATCCCCCTTCCCCGTTTTCACTTACCGTGATCTGCTTCTGTCGGACCAGCATAGCCGTCACGGCCTCCGCCAGGTCGGCCATCTTCTTTCCCAGCATGCCCGCCGTATGCCGCACCATAGCCCAGTGTTTCTGTCTACATGCCGACTCATATAGGTCATCGTACAGCTCGCGTACGGTAAACCTTCTTCCACCGAGGTCCAGCTGGAAGCCAAGTCCGTTGGCGACAGCCAGGAAGTGCAGGATGTCACCGCGTTCTTCGAGATCGTGTGTGTCACGAAGCATGGTGATGAGGTCTTCATTTCCAACATCGTCATACTGGACGTCGGATTCGGTACGAACTCCGTGGAAGCTTTCGGGAGGATCGCCAACCTCGTCACTGTTGAGACGAGCTCGTGCGGTCGCATCGGCGAGTGCTTCGTCTTCGGGAACCCGATCGAGGTTGTCGTCTTGCGCGACGGAGAGCGAAGCCCGGCGAATGGACTTGCGTCGTGTTAGACAGAACGCCGAGTCCAGAGAAGCTGGAGGAAGGGTGTCGTCACCATACACACTTCTCGTGCGACGGACCGCACCTCGATGGCTCATCTTTCTCGTGAGGGAGGTCTGCGGGCGGATGCCCGGTCGGATCCCATCCAGTGCCGAGGACCTCCTTACGACCAGCCCCTTGCGGAGGTGATGGTCGAGGTACTGGCGAACCTCAGGTTTCAGACTGTCCGATCTTCCCGCTTCATGATCATTTAGGAACTCCAGACTCGAGAGGCATGAGGTGTTGACGAAGTCCCGGATTGTCCCAAGCGTCACCCTCGTAGCGTTGAGGTACCCCGTCTTGATCTTCCGGAAGGTCTGTACATAGGGCGCAGGGACCATGCCATCCTCCAGGAGCCTCTCTTGGAAGACAATCGTCACCAGTGGCCGCCCCATCATGTTCGTCCAAGCACTCTGCAGGAAGAAGATCTCACTCCCGAGAATGTCGATGACCAGTTGAGCATCCGAAGCGAAGAAGAACCGATCCATGTCCAGGAACTGGGGTGTGAAGGCGAAGACCTGACCCTGTAGGGAGTAGAGGATGCTGGTGCCTAGGCTTCCCACGTCGAGGGTGGTTCGGCCGGACAGACAGAGCTTCTTGTTCAGACCCAGATGTGTGAAGAGCTTCCCGAGGACTCGAGCAGGCTGGACCTCTATCGGGTAGACCTCGTCGACGGTTTGGACCTGAGGGAAAAAGAAAGGTGTGTCATTAGGGGAGCACATCACTAAGCCAGAGCATATGCGTTGTCGATGGGTAAGAAATGCATCGCGGCTCACGGGGGTCACGAACTCGTCCACAGTTTGGACCCGTGGGGAAGTGAAAGAGGGCACCAGTAGGGAGCGCACTTTATCTTACGATTTAGACCTGTGGGGAAAGAGAAAGGATGTGTCATTAGGGACGCACACCATCACCAGTGTGAAACTGGGTGGCAAGGCTCAAGGAGTGCAATGCGCGGAACACATCCAAATACATATCGTTCAGTCCAAACATGAATGCCGACAACGAAGGGTGCGAGACATCAACGGGACCTTGTGTTGACCTGAGAGAAGGAGGGAAGATTGTCACTGAGGACATTGTCCTATGGACTCCGTTGTGAGTCGTGTAAAACGAAAAGCAATGCTACCAGGTCGCGGAGGGAGCACAGCGTCCCAACATAAGCGTCAGCAACGGGGAGGAACATATGTACAGCTAGTACATACTAGTGTATATTGATAGAGACAAGTAGAAAAACACGGAACAAATAGTGCATGGACGCGTTTCGATTATTAAATCTTCATCAGCATGACATAATCACAGAGAAAATAAAAAATAAACAAGATATAGCACACAAACATTCGAGCTCGTCACAGTGCACTGTGACGAGCTCGAATGTTTGTGTGCTATATCTTGTTTTCTCTGTGATTATGTCATGCTGATGAAGATTTAATAATCGAAACGCGTCCATGCACTATTTGTTCCGTGTTTTTCAGTACATACTAGTATATTGCGGAGAGTTGAAATATTTTGGAGCTGACTTATCCCCACCAATGCCCACGAAATATCGTCATCACATTGGGTTGTTACCTCTGTCGACACCATTCCAACTGCAAACATGCTCAAGTGTATGCCTGATCGAAAGCCATTAGACGAAGCCTGTCTCTTCTAGCGTGACGAGCTTACATAGCGTTTTAAAGAGCATTGACTTGACCACTTAAGATCAACCGGATAGGTTGCCGCTTTGGGGGGGAACCTCGCCCCACATACGCAGAGAGGCAAGTTCAATGATTAACGTCAAACTAAAAGCACACGTCGCCTCGGCGTTGACAACAACCTGCCGTTGCCATGATGACAGCGGTTGTCATGACAACAGTCAACAGCTAACGCTGCTGGCGGCGTGTTGAAATTTCATAAGCATTAGGATACTGAATCGCGCTATGTAATGGCAGACTGAATGCTCTTTTGAGAAAGCCTCTCGGACGTGAAATGTCAGAATTCGATTGTCGGTACACCCGGCGAAAAGCTGGAACGATGTCAATTTATGAGTATATAATCGCTGAAGACGACGACGACGATTCAGCGACAGCAGAGTTCAGAGCAGCCGTGGACGGTAGGTGATTGAGAGGTGAGCAAGCTTCCCAAACATTCATTTTGACTTGGGTCATGGGTGTTGTCAATAAAGGTAAGATAACGTTGACTAGATGAAGTTGATAGATGAGGTGGAATGTGTCTGAAAATGGGGGATGATCTGATGACAGTGTAGAGATGAGAGTAACGATTTTTTATTTGGAAGTCGCTTCCTACCCGAATTGATAAGTTTCATCATGTTTGTAAGCAAACGTTTCCCTGTTTGTTTCTATGTTCTGGATGAGAGTTTTGATTTCCCGATGCTTCAAATAAGCAAGCATTCAATGTGACTTAATCAGGACGGTGTCAATTATCTTAATGATCGTTTGATCTTACTTTTTGCTAATAAAGTAAAACGTGCCTTCCTTTTCAGATCGAGTTTGTGACTGTCACCCATAATGAAAAGTTAAGCCAGTGTGTAACACATCAGCAGAAACCATGTCGGCGATCCATCCACGCTGGAAATCTTCCAAGTCCGACAAACAACGCACAGTACGTTCTTCGAGTGCCGCATCTTTTCGATCTCCTAAAAAGTCCAATAAAGTTCAGCCCGCCTGGCATATCCCGCAGGAAATTGATAAACTGACTGTTGAGAATCCTGATGGAAGTGTCGGAGACGATCTGAACAACACTGAAGATGTTTTGGAGAAGACCGGACACGGATTGGGAGGAAAAAAAGCAAAAGAAAGCGGTAATGGAACCAAAGGAAGACGGGTCAACTCCGGGCGAGCATTGACAGGGAAAAGAGCAAAAGAGAACTGTAAGGAAGCCAGAGAAAGAAACCTCCAACTCTGCATGCCTCTTGTGCGTTGGATGGTGCATTTTATGCTGTTGATCCTGCTCGCCCAGCAGCTCCACTCTCAGTACCAGGTGTACCGTTCGCAACCAGTCACCACAACCATCCAGCAAACGCTTGCTCCGTTCCCCAGAATAACACTCTGTCCAGGCTCCATGATCACAGACACGAAAATCCTCAGCGATGCCGAAAAGGATCTCAAGGAAGGTAAAATCACACTGGATGAGTTCTACAATAGGACGACGTTGGAGATCCTGGAAACTTACGATAATTCCGACAATTACATTCTCCTTCATTCCAGCTCAACCTCCTATTGGACAGTCAAGCGTCAAAAGTTTCCAGAGGCGAGCAAGCTTGGTCACTGGCAAACAAAGTACTACTTGACTATAACAGAGGCAAGCGATGAGCTCAACCCGACTCGCTGCTTGACGCTGCAGCCAAGTAAGCTTCTCATGGATAGCGCCAATGAAAACAGCCAACTGGAGATTCTCCTAAAGATTCCGTCAGTGTTTAGCAGCGAAGAGGTGGCCTACCGCCTCTATGTCCATGACACTGAGGAACCAAACGTCGGCGATCTCTTGGCTTCAGAGCTCGGAAGTGTCCATCAGACGACCTCTGTCAACCTGCCCGCAAAGAAAGCTCTCTCCATGCGACTCACCGCACGGCAGTTTAACCTCGCCAACGTTTGGCGTCGCCCGTGTCGGCAGGAGCCCGGCTACTCTGCCATCCAGTGTCTGAAAGAGTGTCTGTGGCATCGTCTGGCGGCCAACATCTCCTGCCGGCTGCCGCACATGGTCCACGCCAAGACGTATCTTCCCGACATGAGCGGACCCCTTGACCACCTGCCGCTTTGCACGCGGACTGTGCAGATGAAATCCAGTGAAGAGCGAAGTCACCAGTATATGCTAAGGCTCTGTAAGACAGTCGAAGAAGAATGCGTGTGGTACGACGAAGCGTGGTATAGACCGAGTAACCTGGAGCCGCAGGAGGACTCCTGGTTCGCAGGTTTCTTGGGGCTGAGAAAGCGTGAGGTAGATCCCGCAACCATGGATAACACTACCGGCAACTCCGAAAACCCGACACCAAGTTCCAAAAAGCCAGCAATAAACGCCAAGGACCGAGCAGCAGGCGCCAAGAACCCAGCAACAAGCGCCAAGAACCCAGCAACAAGCGCCAAGAAACCAAGGTCTCGCGCCAAGAGGTCAACAACTCAAACTAAAAAGCCAACATCCCGCACTAAAAAGACAAACCGGCGTACACCAAACACCCAGAGAAAGTTCGCCAGACTGGACGACGGAGTCCCAACGCGCTGCCCTCGCCCAGAGGAATTCCACTACATGCTCGAAGACAGCCTCCTCACGAAGACGCACGGCTGCGACTGTCCTCCGGCCTGCCACCAGACTTCCTACCACCTCTCCGACTGGTCGCTAGCCTCTAGCAACACTATCGTTCCTGACAACTACGGTACTCAGCTCAACTCAGATCAAGACTGCCAAACGAAACTTACCCTGGCGATCGACCTCAGTGCGGATGAAGTCAATGAAGATATCGTGTTCACGCTCCCGACGCTGCTGGCCAACGTTGGTGGAACGGTTGGGATTGTGACGGGCTATTCTTTGTTCACTCTTGCTGAAGTTGTGGAGAATCTGGTGTGGAGGCTTGGAAGGAAATGAGAGGTCAGCGATACAGCTGCGGGTCGATCCAGCTTGTTGTCCTGGCTGTCTTTGCCATATCAAATCACGTCGTACTTGTGACGTGCCTTTGTCTTGTGTTTGTCGCCTCCAGAATCGTGCATTTGAAATCCCTTTGTCGTCCCCGTCATGTGTCTTTGTTGTTTCTTCGACATATATTTGTTGTGCCTTCGTCGTGTCTTTGTCTTCCCCTGAGTAGTCTTTGGCACGTTTTTCTTGTCTTCTTCTTGTCATGCCCGTGACGTCTTTTTCGTGTCGGTGCTTTATGTTTATCATTCTCCTGGCCGTGCCGTTGACGTGTCTTGGACGTATCCATGCCTTAGCTTTGTGGTCCAAGGATGGTGTCTTTGTCGTCTTCATGTCGTGTTGGCATTGGCCCGGGCTCCTAGGTGGTGTGTTCACCGTTGTCATGGTCAAGTAGTTGCCGTCCCGGGGTCGTATCTGTGAAATTGTTGCCGCACCCGGGGGTTCGTGACTTTGTTATCCCCAGAGTCATGCCGTTGAGTCAGAGTCATACACTTGCCGTTGTCGTAACGTGACGTGCCTTCGTTGTATCGTTGAGGTCTTTGACGTCTAAGGATCACGCCTTTGGCAAGTCTTGGTCGTCCCAGACCCTCGTGTACTCTTTAGTGACCGAGAATCGTGCCTGTCTTGCCTTTGTGTCGCCAGAGTCCGGCATTTGATCTGTCTTTGTCGTCCCCGGATCAGGTGCATTTGTTGTTTTTGTCGCCCCGTGCTGTGTCTTTGTCGCCCCGTGCTGTGTCTTTGTCGCCCCGTGCTGTGTCTTTGTCGCCCCGTGCTGTGTCTTTGTCGCCCCGTGCTGTGTCTTTGTCGCCCCGTGCTGTGTCTTTGTCGCCCCGTGCTGTGTCTTTGTCGCCCCGTGCTGTGTCTTTGTCGCCCCGTGCTGTGTCTTTGTCGCCCCGTGCTGTGTCTTTGTCGCCCCCGTGCTGTGTCTTTGTCGCCCCCGTGCTGTGTCTTTGTCGCCCCGTGCTGTGTCTTTGTCGCCCCGTGCTGTGTCTTTGTCGCCCCCGTGCTGTGTCTTTGTCGGCCAGGCATTGTGTCTTTGTCGGCCAGGCATTGTGTCTGTGGCCCCGATCCGCGTCACTGTCAGCCCCGATTGTGCCCTCGTCCAACTAGTACGTAAAATACGTGGATGCTATCTCTCGGTTGTGCCTTTGTCAAACTCTGGTCGTTCGTTGGATGTCCTTGTGTGCCGCCTGTGTCACTCGCGCCCGCCGTATACCGGCCGGTGTCCTCATATTTGCCACTCGGGGTGGGAAGTGACATCCAAATGGAAATATTTTTTCCACTCTTACCTCCAATTTGCCGGAGCATTTTTTTTTTTACTCCAAATGTATTGTTATCAATAAAGAGAACCTGCGTCTAGGTACATTTGCTTGCTGGCTTTTACCTACCTCCATATTCTATTCAATTATCTTCTAAAGCAGCTCCTACATCCTCTAACACTCACATATAAATAAATGATGCCTGTTTTCCGCTCTATGTTTGCGTCTCTCATACTGGCCATTTCCCACTCTCAGCCCTCTTTGCAGTGAGAAATAGGTATTCCCCTCAGACACCTCAGCCAAAATATAATTTTGGGACACCGACACCAGCTCACCTGTTTATGTCGTTCAATTTATCGTTTTGCTACGGAGCGTCAAGTGCGTTTCCTGGATCTGCCGTGTTCTGGTATGTCTTGACTTATTTAGCTCACTTGTTCACGTATGTCGTTACGTCATTTTGTTGGCCGAATAATTTATGAACCTTCGTTCCAAGACCTGATAAGCCTGTTTGATGTATAATTATGCCATTTTCAGCTGGACCCGAATTTTAGGTATGCTCTTGTATTTAGGAAAAAAAATCCACATAATAAAAGAAAGTTCTCGAAATTGCAATATTTCTCAACCTGGAGTTAGTTTTCGTGTTTGCCGCATGTATTCGGGGTTAAATTGGATATTTGTTTGTGTGTGACAGCTGACAGGACAATTCCAGCAATAAAATATCGACGTAAATGATGTTTGGGGGACCATTACAGGCGCTTCGGTCAACAGCGCAATCAAATAGCACTGACGCCCAGGGCTGCGGAGTCGATGGATTTTCGGTGGCTCCGACTCCGGTCAGAACTGCTCGATTCCGACCGACATCGACTCCGAATCCGCAGACCTGTTCACGCTACCCATTTCGGAACACGAGGCAACGTTTGAAGGACAGATGGATCATCAACATTCTAATCCATGTACATTTACAATGCATAATATGTCTAGGATCTATAAACTTTCCCCCAACCATCCCACCCTCATACCCACCCAGCTGCTGAATGTCAGCTGAGGTCAAGGTCCCCATACCCCAATTAGGTCAATGAGGTCAAGGTCAAGGTCCCAATGAGGTCAATACAATACAATACAATACAATACAATCCCCTTCATTCCTCTCCCACCATTTCACTCACCTGCAAGTCATGATGTTCGGCCATGATCTGCTGAACATGCTTGTTCTCCGCCAGAATCGCCACCTGAACCACCACATCGGGCTTCTTCTCCGCACCCAGCCGCCGGTTCAGCGGATCCAGCTCCGACTCCTGGATGCAGCCTTCTTGGAGAAGTTTCGCGATCACGTACAGACTCTGCGCCCAGAAGAACGGTACTCGACCGACAGGCCTGCGGCGCTGAGATCCCGGGTCGGCTCTCTCGGCGTCGAGAGATTCGGGCGGAATTTGGTACATTTCTGGCACGAGTTTCTGTCCGTCGTCAGTTTTGATCATGAGTTCTTCAATCGAGAGGATGTGTTTGTCCATGGCTTCCCGGTTGCCTTGGTAACACTGGTCGATTGCCAAGAGACAGAGAAACAGCGGCCACTCGCACTCGATGTTATCAAACACGCGAAGCTCCCAGGGTTCATAGTAGAGCCGGTTCGGGTCTTCTTTGACCGTCTTGTAGCCGTCGCGGAGGAAGCGTTTGCATCCGTAGCGCCCGAGGAGTTTCTCCTCCACTGCGAGTCGCGTCGCGTTGATTGTGGCCGCGTCGCTGACGGCGAACGCGGGGAAGCCGATAATGGAGAGCAGCCCGCTGTCGAGTTCCTTCGAGATGCTCTCTCGGGGAAGCATGGACTGCAGCACGGCCTGGCACTTCTGGACCTCGTCGGGAAGGATGTGGATGACCGAGGCGGGCCCTCCGTGCGCGCCGAAGAGGTCCAGGTCGTTGAGCGCCTCCATGGCGGCTTTGGCCATTCCGATGGAGCTGGCGTTGAGCTCAGGCAGGCCGTGGTTGGTCTTGTCCCCTCTCTCCCAGATGCCATAGTCCGGGGTGAAGTAGGAGATCTCAATGTAGAAGACAAGGTTCTGGATGAAAGTGACCTCGTCCAGGCTGTAGACCAGCTTGATGCCTGACGCGGTCATCTGTGCCAGGATGAGGAGGAAGAGAGACGTGGCGTCGAGCTGGAGATGGCCCCATTCATTGTCACCGACGCAGGTGAAACCGGTGGTTGTGCTGTACTTGGCGTGCAGCGCGTCCTTCGGCGACTGCGAGCTCTTGAAGCGCTCCACCTTGTCCTTCTGGAACATCATTGATGTCAGGAGACCCCTCATGATCTTCACAACGCGCTGCTCCATCTCGTACGTCCTCGAGCGCTCTTCGTCGAGGTCGGAGTACTTCTTGTACGCCTTCGAGAGGCCCCACAGCGCGATGGCACAGTACACATTGTCTCGTACCCAGGAATGCTGGCTGCCTTTGCTCGCAGGCAGCAGTCCTGTCACAGGATGCTGGTGGCACAACACGGTGTTGAACAGCATGTCCCTATAGTAGTCGAGTCGGACCCCAGAGTTGCTTCTGGTCCTCATTTTGATGGCTGATGATGCACGAATTGATCGAGGTGCGCTTTTGTTCGTGTCTACAAAGCACTGGTTATTGCCTTTAGACCGAGTTGCTCATTCTATGCTTCCAAAGCAACCCTGGCACTTCACTTCAACTTTACAGCTCAAGTGCACCCCAAGCTCGGCAACATTTCTCAACAGACAGTTAGAATGAGCGGGAGAGATCCGTACAAATCATTCAGACACCACTGTATCTACAGTTTCATAAGCATGACGACCAAACACCAAACTGGAACATCGAAGACCACAAACAACGAGCCCACGCTTCAAAGTTTTCTTGTTTTTCACCTTCTCAGTGTCCTTGGATCAGCTGGAAAACATGAGAAATAGGGATGGAAAATGCAAGTATTTTGGGGTAATGGCATCGTATTTTCCTAAAAAAATTTCTTTGAAGCTGTACTTTGACAGACAAGAAGTTCAATTTTGAAGAGCGAAAATCTCAATGGGAGTTATTTTGATTTCACTTTCGAACATAAACACAGGAAGGAGATCATCACCATTATGGTAATCAAGTACCTCAAGTACCTATGTAAACTTTTTTCATCACTAGTATGTAAACATACGAAGTAAAGAATTTCATGACGTATAATATGATTATCAAGTTAACCTTCCCATTTTTATCCCTAAAATGCATAGAATCAACATTTTTTTTTTAAATTTTAATAATTAATTATAACAAATATCCGAATAGTCTGTTAATGCAAATTTTTTTATCAAAAATATAATATATTACGTCATCAAAGTGACTAGTATCAAAGATTTGAAGCTTTTCGCGGCAAATTACGGCGCAGGAGACAAGGCGGGAAATAAACGTGCGTTTCGAACGAATGGCGCTCGAGATTCGAAAATTGTGTCGGTGATCGAATTGGCGGCCAAGAAAGGTATATTTTAAAATGTATCATATAATTTCCTTACCCATGTGTTGTTTTATTGTTTTGATCACTTGTTTCATTAACATTTAGGTATAGGTATAGGTATATAGATAATGGACTTGGGGTAGCAGTATGCTATTTGTTGTCCATGTCATTGTTGGCAAGGAAACATGTCAGGGTACTCATTGAGGTTGGAGGTCACAGGTCACAGTTGGCTTTGAGCTGGAGGTGCTTATCTAGCTTAGCTTTAAATGTAGCAGTGGTGTCAGCAGACACAACATCATCTGGTAGCTTGTTCCAGTCATTAGCCACCCTCTGTGAGAAGAACCTTTGTCTGGCTTGATGGACTGACTGCTCCTTGTGTAATTTCATATGGTGACCTCTTGTGTTTGTCGTCCTCAGTTTGAAAAACTTCTCTCTCCTCACATTGAGCTTCCCTGACATGATTTTATACGTCTCAATCAAGTCGCCTCTTTTTATCCTGTCTTTAATAGATACGGTCTTCAGGACTTTTAGTCTTTCTTGGTATGGCCTGTGCTTTAACCCCCTCACCAATCTTGTAGCTCTGCGCTGGATGTTTTCGAGGAGACTGATATCTTGAACAGCTTGGGGACCCACAGCTTGTATACAGTAGTCCAGGTGTGGTCTCACATATGAGTTGAAGAGGCTGGTGAAGTTTGTTGCTGTGATTTGGTCAAAGGACCTCTTTATCATTCGGAGAGCTACCATTGCTTTGCTCGCAGCTCTTTGACAGTGACTAGTAGGTCGAAGGTCGTTTGTTATAGTCACCCCCAGGTCTCGCTCCTTATCTGTGACTTCTAGTTTGACTCCTCTAATACTGTAAGATCTTTTTGGGTTATGTGGTCCACAGTGCATCACTTTACACTTTTGGGGGTTGAATTCAAGAAGCCATTGTTCAGTCCATTGCGAGAGTCTATCTAGGTCTGCCTGAAGTTGTTCTGAGTCCTCTGAATTTCTGACCTTGCGATAAATCTTCATGTCATCTGCAAACAGTTTTGCGTCGCACTGGACCAATGTGGGCAATTCGTTGACATATATCACAAACAGGATGGGTCCCAATACTGAGCCCTGCGGAACTCCGCTGGTCACAGCCTCTTCTCTAGATTCTTGGTCATGAACTACTACCTTCTGAGTCCTGTCCTGAAGAAAGTTTGTGATCCATTGAAGCACTCCTGCTTTGACACCATAGGCAGCCAGCTTCTTAACAAGTCTTCGGTGGGGCACAGAATCAAAGGCCTTTTTAAAGTCACAATAGATGATGTCCAGTCCACTGCTGCTGTCCAGTATGTGTGTCCAATCCTCCAGAGCCTCTAGAAGATTGGTCAAACATGATTTTCTGGGTACAAAGCCATGCTGTTCTTTGCAGATGAGATCTTTCTCTAATAGATGGTTGAGCAGGTGCCTTTTGATAATTCTTTCCATGACCTTACATGCATGACTAGTCAGACTCACAGGCCTGTAGTTACTTGCCAGTTTTTTGGAGCCTCCCTTGAAGAGTGGTACCACTGCTGCTCTCTTCCAAGCTGTTGGTAGCTGTCCGCTTGTCATGGACTTTTGGAATATCTGCATGAGTGGGTATGCTAGCTCAGGTGCACAGTTTTTCAAGAGAAAGGGGGAAACATCATCCGGTCCTGATGCCTTGTCTTCAGTCAACGTTTGAAGTTCATGGAGTACTTCCTGAAAAGTAATGTTAATATCCTCGAGTGATTCTCCTTCTTCCACCTGACTTTCAAAAGCTGGCAAAACACCGCCTTGTTCTTTTACAAAAACTGAGCAAAAGAATGTTTGTAGTTCATCTGCAATCTCTTTCTTTGTTGCTATCACAGTGCCATCAGGTTTGACTAGTTCCATCACTTTGTCTCTTGTTTTGCTTTGCAGTCTTACATATTTGGCTATCTTCTTTGGCATTATCTTAGCTGACCTTGCCAGCTCTTCCTCATACAACCTTCTTGTCTGCCGGATGTGACTCGTGGTCTCGTTTCTGATCCTGGTAAACTTCTTCAGATTCTCTGCTGTTTGTTCTTTTCTGTACTGCTTGTAGGCTTTATATTTACGCTTCACTTGCTTATCTAGTGCTTTATTCCACCACGGTGGTGACAGTTTTGTTTTTCTTCTGCCTTTGAATAGAGGAACATACTTCTTTCTGCAATCGTGTAACTTATCAACAAAGAATGTCCATGCTGCTTCAACATCCATGTTTTCTATCACATCCCACTGCACCTGTGCTAGCTCATGACGGATAGAATCATAGTTACCAGCTCTGTAATTGTATCTGAGTTGTTCCTTGGCCTCCCTGTTTTCAGAGTGTATTCTATAGTCCCATATTATCACACAGTGATCACTTTTTCCTATTGGAGCTTCATATTTGACTTCCTCAACATTGTTTTCCTGATTAGTGAGGATGAGGTCCAGGGTAGAGGGGGCTGTACCTGCTCTGTGCCTGGTGCTGGATTTCACATGCTGGGTTAAGTAACAGTCTTGTACTATGTTGTAAAACTGAGTGGCATCAGAGTTTGGTGGTCCTGAAATTGCACCAGTGTCCCAATCAATTTCTCTGTAATTAAAGTCTCCCATAACCAGGTAGTCTGTAGCACTAATTGTTTTCATTTTCTCTAGCAACTTCAGCAGTTCTTGATTATTTTCCCGATCACTGTTTGGTGGTCTGTAGCAGATGCCCACCACTATTGTGTTCCCAGGCCTTGTGTGAATTCTACACCATGCTGCTTCTTCAAAGTTTGAATTGTTCAAAATATCACACTCGCTGACCCTTAAATGATCTGCCACAAGAAGTAGAACACCTCCACCTTTACAACCATCAGGTCGGGACTTACTGGCTGCTACTTGATAGCCTTGAATGTGAATCTCATCCTTCTGCCACACTTCTGTCAGTCCTATAATGTCTGGCTTATGAATGTCCACCCTGTTCACAAACTCTTCCATCTTGTTTCCTAAGCTATTGACATTAGAGTAGAAGCATGACAAAACTTTGTTGAGAGTCACACTACTGTTCTCTTGGGACCACCTTGTTCTGAAAGATCCTGTGTGTCTCCTTGCCTTTTCTTTTGAGTTCGTCCCTCAGTTCTTTTTGCTTTGATCTTTCTTCTGGCGACAGATCCTTGGTGATGTACCTGTTCTTGAACCCTACATCTGTTAGTCTGAACCTCTTTTTGTACAGGTCCTCTAGTTGCTCTTTGTCTTTAAGTTTCACCAAAAGCAATCTCGGTTTGTCGGATGAAGTGTCTCTTCTGCCAAGACGGACCACGTCTAGCAAATCTATATGAGTGTCGTTGCCTCGCAGGGCCCTAGACATCTCTTGGATCCTTTCCTTGTCATATTCCTTCCTTACCTCTGTCTCGCTTGACTCTGACTCTGGCAGGTTGTGAATGATCAGGTTCATGTCCCTTTTCTCGTTGCTCGTTTGAACAGCTTTCTTTATCGTGTCCGAGCTCTGTAGGATAACCTTTTTCTGTTCGCTTAGTTTTTCTACTACTTTCTTCTCCATTTCATTTATTTTTTTCTCGATCCCTTTCTCTACAGTTTTCTCATCCTTGTCTTTGCCAATTGCTTCTATGACATTCTTTTCTACCTGCTCTACTCTAGAGATCACTTGTTGCAGTGAAACCGAGACCTTGAATTTCATTCTGCATGTTTCGCACACCCAGAAGAGGTCGTGTAGGTCGATGGCTTTAAAAGCCTCAACACTTAGGCCCTGACAGCTCGGGTGGAACCAGTCATTACAGCCTTCGCATTCTATAGAATCTTGTTTCTTCCCGATAGTTTTGCCACATGGTTTCCCAGTACTTCCTCTGCACTGGAATGCCTTACCTTTCTTTGATTTCTTTTTGCTTTGCACAGTCACAAACCCCTCCTCAGCACTTTCATTCCCGCCACTTTCATGTTCGCTTTCCTGGCCTTGAGACAATTGTGACGCAGGGGTCTCACGCGATGCAAGACCCTTTACCATTTTATGTCAGTTTCAAAAATGTTCTGACACTTGAAAACTTGTTCTGACACTTGAAATTTTCGTGTGCTGTCTTCATATTGCAATTTTCAGTGTTGCTTTCAATGCCAATCCAATTCCAACCCACCCCAACCCCGCAATCCTGAACAATCTCATGAGTCATCTGCTACCTGTTTTTTTTAAGCTTTCTGTAGTCATTTATTTGATCGCAATGGTACAAGCTCAATAAAAAGGTAACTTTTTCCTGTTTGCAGGTCAGTATAATTCTCAAAGATGGGCAAGGAGGTGAACAAGATTGATGATTTTGTGAAGCTAGAAAAGATCGGAGAAGGTGAGTGCCCGTATATCAGGATAGACCACTCTATCAGTAGGCGGAACTATGGTCAAGCGTACCCATTTTCGGGAACGCGTTTTCGTTCCCATGTTTGGGAACGATAAACCCAAATATGGGAACGCCATGTAGGCATTATTTAAAACAAGAAAAAGAACTGTTAAATGACGTCCAAAAAATATAAAACGATCGTGAACCGCCTGATAGTTGTCTCAATATTGTTGGGAAAGAGTTTGATATTGTAAGGCCCATCGTAGTTTCAAATCGTTCCCCTATTTCTAAAGCAGTCCATCACCCGGGCCGCGAGCCCAAATTTGGGAACGCTCTCGTACACTGGCGCTGCAAGCGTTCCTTATTATGGGAACGGCGTACCCAAAATTGGGAACGATTTCACCGACGCCTTTCAGGGGCTCTTTTCATTAACAAGCATCACGTCCAACGCCGCAAATTATTGTTAACGCAACAATCATCAGATGACCTTTCCGGCAAGACCGTTGCATGTTTCGCCCGGTCTTCTGCGCTTTTATTCCCGTCGATCTCGCAGCGGGCACGCCCCCCCTCTGCAGGATTACGTAATCCACAACGCTCAGCGATGTTCAACAAGGTCTTCCATACCTATATCCACCGTCCGCGCCGAGGGTGGAGACATGTCAAGCACCTGTCTGCTAATCACCGAGAGTTGACGAGCACAAGAAGTATCCAAAAATGGGAACGCTGAATATGTTACACCCTCAAAACACCTAGTCCCAATGAAAATCTAGTTTTTTCCTTTCTTAATGAGTGTAAGTGGCAAAAGGCCTGGTAGGATGGGCACGAGGTATGATCGAAATCAGCATAAAAATTATAAATAAGCCACACAGAGCGACCTATATCAGAGAAATTCCCCCCAAACGATCATGCTTAGAAACGCCGAAGACAAAAACCACGCTCATGACGCTGCTTATAAAACAACGCTAAACAGCTAGCATCCAAATAAAATATGTCTTTCAGGGCAGATAAAATACAGCTGAATGATTTTAAACCACTGAAACTGAGTTTACAACAGTAGTTCGGTAAAATCACTGACGTTCCACGCGGTCGATCGCCCCGACACCAAAAGTCAACAATATTACCTCGGGACTGTCCGCGTGTTCGCTTGCATATGTCAGCATCTGGTGTCGCTAGAATGAAATTTCATAACCAGGCGAAAATTATTATACTTGACCTCAAAATGTAAAAAATGCTTCATTTTCCTTAAAATTGCATGTTAAATGTCGTATAACCCATATTTCCACCATTCTGTCATTTTTAAAAAATCATTAAAAATATCATTCCACGGTCAATTTCCTTGTTCCACGGTCAGATTAAAGATAACTTTATGGAGATTTAGTAGATACTTAAATCAGCGTGCACTTTTTTGAGACGTGATGCACTTTTGAGTTTTAGTGGGCGAACGGCCGAAAAATTGCCTTCCGTTCTCATAAATGGGAACGCCCGTTCCCATATTTGGGAACTCCGTTCCCAAAAATGGGAACGTTCCTATATTTGGGTACTCATGACCATAGTTCCGCCTACTGCTATTGCTAGACTAGATCCACCTGGGGGCTGGGGGAGAGGAGGTGTTATAGTTGCATTGTTAACACTTGGCACTGTGTTGGAGCTGTCCCTTGCGAGGACGATGAAATGCCGAAGCTCTGCTGGACGTTTGGCTGTGTTGGTTCCCTCCTGCCTCTACTCTGCCTATCATTTCCTCCTTCTCTTTTCACTTCTCTCTCTCTCTCTCTCTCTCTCTCTCTCTCTCTCTCTCTCTCTCTCTCTCTCTCTCTCTCTCTCTCTCTCTCTCTCTCTCTCTCTCTCTCTCTCTCTCTTTCCCTTCCTCTCTCTCTCTCTCTTTTTCTGTCTCTCTCTCTCTTTCTGTCTCTCTCTCTCTCTTTTTCTCACGGCTCATGTTGTCACATAGCCCAGTTGTAGCTCAGTTGGTAGAGCGTTGAACTACCGGTGGTGGAAGCTCTGGTTTGAGTTGACTGCACTTGATATTTGAGACTCCTGACGGGGATGGTCTGCGGTTAGTGGGAGCATCTGCATCTGGTTGAAGTCAGTTGACTGGGACAGGCCTTGTCCGGTTTTGGTGGGCATTAGGCACATTAAACTCGGCCGTCGCTCACATCATTATCCTTCCGTTATCCTGACCCCATTATCCAGCAATCCTCCCGTTACCCGGCATTGCACGATCAAACTGTAAGGGTCGGGGTCTGTGCAACACGCTCTGCTTAGCATGGTCTCCAGCTCTGTCATTTCATCCATTCAACTTTTGACATAAAAAATAATAACTCCCTGTCCCACCCCCAGGCACCTATGGTGTGGTCTACAAAGCACAGCACAAGACCACCGGCAGCATTGTGGCCATGAAGAAGATTCGCCTGGAAACGGAGGAGGAAGGTGTGCCGAGCACTGCCATCCGGGAGATCTCGCTACTCAGGGAGCTGGTACACCCGAATATAGTCAGCCTGGAGGATGTGCTGATGCAGGTGAGCGTAGGGGGAGTGAGGGAAGGAGTTGAAGAGAAAAAACGTGGAGAGGGAGGGTGAGAGGCGAGGGGTATGCTGAGAGTGACAGCTGTTTCAGCAAAGCTTCTTAGACCAAAAAAAAAAACTTCCTCATTAGCCGAGGAGTCTGGCTTGTTGGTTTTGCTGCAGACCCAGCAAACATAGTGGATGGAGTGGGGATTCTTATGTAATACGAGAAATCTTATTATAATACATATAATTCTTATTATATTATTCTTATTTTAATATAGAGGTTCCCCTACGTTAACGTCCCCGGCGATTTATGAATTGGGTTACAATGGCTTAGTAATTAAAGGACGACAATTTATATTGGAATTTTTCACGCAAAGATCTCGAGTTTCAACTGTACAAATCCCTTGGTATACCTTACATCTTGTGTTTGAATATCTACCGCTTCTTACAGGAGAAGAAGCTGTACCTGGTGTTTGAGTTCCTATCGATGGACCTGAAGAAGTACATGGATACGCTCGGCAGCAAACAGATGGACAAGCAGCTGGTGAAGTCGTACACCTACCAGATCACGCAGGTATGGTATGGTAGTATGGGGTGGGGGTGGCAGTATGGATGCGCAGGGACAAACTAATGGACAAACAACTGGTCAAGTCGTACACCTACCAGATCACGCAGGTATGGTATGGTAATTGTAGTATGGGAGTGGCAGTGTGGGAGGGGCAGGGACAAACTAATAGACAAACAGCTGAAGTCGTACACCTACTAGATCACGCAGGTATGGTGGTGAAATCTCCTTTTAAATATTTTACGGCAGAGGACGGAAACCTCTTGCCCGTGGGGTTCGCCCGTGCTCGTCTGGTTTCGGGCCCGTGCCTAATTTATTGTCATCGACAAGATTATAACCAGATTCGCCAGTGATTTGCATGGTGTCTTCAATAGCGTATTTTTCATATGACGCAGTCGCATAAGGGTTCATCTATCACAGGTAAGAAGGCAGCCACTTCTACGTCGTGTTTCGTATAATGTCACGGGTTGTCTCCACTGACGTAACTTACATGTTTTATTGCGCAGCGTATCCTGTTTTGCCGCCAGCTTTGTTTTGCAACACTTACTGAATGTCTTCTGTTCCACTACTCCGCCTTTTACCGTCCGGCGTCTAGTTACTTCTGTCTAGCTTTAGTGTCGTATTTTATAGTGACTCACTATTAATGACGTCACCGTTTGCCTCCTCTGACGTAATACGCGTGTCCTCTGTCTTGCAGGGTATCCTCTTCTGCCACCAGCGTCGTATTCTTCATCGTGATCTGAAGCCGCAGAACCTGCTTATCGACCGTGATGGTGTCATTAAGATCGCTGATTTCGGTCTGGCGCGTGCCTTCGGTGTGCCCGTTAGGGTCTACACACACGAGGTGAGACCTTCGTAAAGCTAGTAAACGATCCCTGAGCGGACTATCAAAGCTTGCCTTATGAGGGAATTCAGATAAATTAGATGCAAAGCTGCAAAATTGAGCGTCAAATGTTCAGTGTCTGCTACTTTAACTCGGGTCGGAGTTTCTCTTTTAATTGTGGTTTACCGTTTATGTTTGTGTTGGTTTATATTCCTTTTACGGGGCATATGTCAGTGTTCTGTATATTAGGCCTACCACTGGGCACTGACCTGAGACAATGGAGTCTATTATCTATGTAGATCATCAAACTGTTAACTTACTCGATCTTCCCTAAATAGGGATGATACAAAAAGTTTAAAGGTAGTGTGCCACCTTTGAAAGATTTCTTATTTTATTTTTCCTAGGATAAGAAGCTTCTGTTTTTACCTAATATCGCAAAAAAATCAAAAAATGGGCCTGGAATAGTGCCTTTTTCGCCTAAAAGTTTATCGGTTTTTCGAGCGCGCGGCCCGACGCACCACCACCGCACCACAAAGTATGAGCAGAAGCCGCGCCCAAAGCCAGGGCCCCTATAACGTGAGGTAGCCGAGTCGGGGCAGCGTGCGCTGACCCAACCCGGGGCCGCAGCTTTGGGCGCGGTCTACCGCATCCCCGCGGGCAGCCCCGGGCTATCACATGGCACCGGGAGAACGCGCGGCCCCGGCTTGGGTCAGCGCACGCTGCCCCGACTCGGCTACCTCACGTTACCGGGGCCCTGGCTTTGGGCGCGGTCTACCGCACCACCTAACAGGCGTGTTCGAAACCGCAGGAGATGATGATGAACGGGTTTATCGAAACTTGATTGGATGAGCATATCGGTAATAGCGATTTCAGTGTGTGCATTTATTGTTCATAGTGGTGTGCAATGTGGTTGGGGTACGACCGACAACCCGTCGGGGCGAATTTCGCACTGGGGTGCTCAAAATTTGAAGAATTTAAGACGTTTCCATGAGTTTTGAAGGTAAATGGATAAGTTCTAAAAATCCGGTTCTCCTTATCTGGGCCATTAACTCCACACGGTCCAGGAAAGCTGGCACACTACCTTTAAGGAAAAAGATTCGTTCAATGCTTGCTTTAAAACCCATACCAATTACCTACTAACTCACTTCCCGTTTACATCGATAAAATTCCAATCCCTCCCTAGACTCGAACCCGCGCTCTGACCTTGACCCTTGTTTCTGTGTATCAGGTGGTGACGCTGTGGTACCGCGCTCCGGAGGTTCTGTTGGGCTCTCCGCGCTACTCCTGCCCCGTGGACATCTGGTCGATCGGTGAGGCGCTGTCTTTTATGAAGTACTCTATGGAAGGAGATGGTGGGCTGACAGGTGGTGGTCCGTTAGCGATGGACAAGGGTTTGGCTCCTTAGGGTACAGCGTGCTGTTGGACAGGTGTTACGTCGGGACTTGATATCCGTGATGGCCGGTCGCCCCCTCCCCCCCCCCCACACACACACAAAACAACTATCGTCATAAGAGGACGTTATAGTTTGTACTTCTTTTGATTGTGTTATTGGGAGGGCAGCCCATTCCACATCTGAGCGCACATGAAGATATGACGTGGAATTCGTAAAAAAAATTGTCGCACATGTCTGATATCCTCTCTCTGTGTCCCCCTTGTGACGTCATTTGTCGCACTGTTTCTCAGGCACCATCATGGCAGAGATGGTGAAGAAGCGGCCGCTGTTCCATGGCGATTCCGAGATCGACCAGCTCTTTAGGATATTCAGGTTAGACTTGTTTATGCTAGGACTTGTGCTTAACCCTATTAGTTGCAGACTCCTGGGGCCTCCTGACTACTCGCTAGCTTGTTAGTTAGCTTGTGTTTGGTAGTTGTCTTGGCTTGTGAGTTCAGAGATGTTCGGTGGGACTTATCACCGGTTAGTCGTCTGCTTAATGTCATGCTCAGCAATCAAGTGCTGGCTTAACATTCTAAAATTCCTATAAACAACAAAAAGTTTTATTGTTGAAATCGGTACTCTCTTCCTTCAACTTGCTGGTACCTCACCATACAACTCTCGCCCTTACAGTCTTGTGTTTGCCAATAAGGTCCACTACCCCACGTCTCACCACACAACTCTCGCCCTTATTAACCTACTCTGACCAATAAGGTCCACTACCCCACGTCTCACCACACAACTCTCGCCCTTATTAACCTACTCTGACCAATAAGGTCCACTACCCCACGTCTCACCACACTACTCTCGCCCTTACAGGACGCTGAAGACTCCCACTGAGGAGATCTGGCCAGGGGTCAGTGACCTGCCCGACTACAAGCCGAGCTTCCCCAACTGGACGGAGAACCAGCTGGCTGACAGCGTCAGCGGCATCTGCCCTGAGGGCCTGGACCTGCTGCAGGTGGGCGACGTGTTCAGGGACTCGTTAGGTATCATACAAGTGTTTGTTCGAGGACTTGTAGGGTATTTGCACTGAGTGTATGTTCAGGGACTCGTTGGTAGCGTCAAGGAATACTTGTTCAAGGAGTTATAGAGTAACTTCAATGATTGCTTGTCTAAGGACTGGTAGGTCTTATGCAATGACTGTATGTATGCTCAGAGGCTCAATCGTGACGCCAATTACTGCTTGTTCAAGGACTCGCAGGGTATTTTAAGATGAATGTGCTTGATGAAGGATGGTTATAGTGGTCGCAACTTAATTTAGGGGTGCATACTTTTTGATAGTCTCTACGTAATAAGTCTCTAGACTTCATGCGCCCTGAAGTCACAAAACATCATCAAGTACTGCATCTTCAAAGGCTCGTCGTATTTCGATCGATGAGCTAGAGATAGAGAAAAGGTGTTTTCGCCAAGGACCATAGCTTTAATAAACGCAATACAAATAAGATAATAACCAAAGGGAAAGTTATATTTCACGCATATCACAACAAACAATGCAGTCGATGAAGGTTTTTTTTAATTGCTTACTTTCGCCCAGTGGAAGCTTTGTAAATGTTAACTAACAACTTTGCCTGCTTGCGTAGTCGTATTTCGTCATTTTTTCGTAGTCGCATGACTTGCAGCATGAATCAAAATCAAGTTGATACAGATATGGATGGAAAAGTAACTCTTGCTGGGACCCTTTTGTTCACTACTAATATAATAACTTCACCAGTAATTTAATATCACCATCAATATAACGTAAAGTTGATGAAATTTTTGTTACATTTACTGGCCGCTTTATCATTGATGACTATGATAAATGCTTTGTTTTTGCTTGCTTCCTTTTTGTTCCTCCTTTGCTTCTTTTTCTTTTTGTAATATTGCATTTTGTTTACAGCAAACGCTCATCTACGACCCTGCTAAGCGCATCACCGCGCGTGCCATGCTGAAGCACCCGTACTTCTCCGATCTGGATAAGAGCTCGCTCCCGGCGGACAACTGTTGAGAGGCGGGAGAAAGACGAAAAGAAGAAAGAAGGGGTATGGGAAGGGTGGGGAGAATGAGAAAAGAAGGGATTGAGGAGTGATGTGGAGAGGGAAGAGACATAGAGGAAGACATGAACGAGAAAGATGGACTAGGATATTGATCTGCTTGAAAGATTCAGGCAGAAAGGACGTAGGATGGAGAAAGGGAAGAGCGGGAAGGAGACAAATAGAGTGCAGTGCCTTCGCGACTGGATTGAGCAGCGAAACAAGGACACAGGGACCAACTGACTGTCCGAAATCAATAGAGATTAAGAATGAATGCTGGAAGAGTGAAATTCTTTGTTGTCTCTTGGGTGATTCGTCCAGGAACGATCGCTCATTCATGTGCCGTGCTTTCTGCCTGTGTCGTCGTTCGGTGACGAAGGTCGCGGGTTCGAAACCCTGTATCGTCACAGTTTTCTTCCGTCTTCTGTGTACTGTACGTGTCTTATCTTCGTGAAGCGCTGAAGTGAGTGGCTCACTCCCATATATTTCGGTCGAGATGGATGTCTGTTGGAATGGAAACCACTTCAGAGGTGTATCCGCATCGAAAATAGCTGCTAAGCTAAGAATGAATGACACCCTCCTATTTCTGCGGGGATTGATGTGGTGAATGACACTATTTCTTGGTGTTTTTCGGTCGAGAAAACGCTCTAAGAATGAATGGCTCGCTTTCAGTTGTGTATTTCGGTCGAGAATGTCACATTTGGCGATCGGTTGTGCTCGAATGAACAAGTGTGTCAGGCGTGTGAGAATGATGAATGGTAGACGAATAATGCATGGAAAGAACATTTTTCGTTGCTAAAAATACAGTCAGATTGACTCATGTGATGTTTGAGACGGGTTGTGTGGAAGAAGGGGGAGTTCAGGGTAGATAATATATGTGACACTGCAGAAAGAGAGTGAGAGAGATACGACATGCGCCCATATTCTGGTTCTCGTTTCTACAAATTTGGTGTGTCTGGTATAAATTAGCTTTGGTCAGTACTGAATGAACTCGCATGTGATACCTGCATAATGTAATTAATCGTATTGCGCGTTCATGAGGCTATATTAACAAAAAGAAAAGAAAGCCGTGGCAGCATTCGTTCACACCAGCTAGTGTATCAGCATTGCTTCATATACCGAACTCATGAGAAAACAATGAACTATATTCCACGTTCTCACCAGGCGCTTGAATCTAGTAAACAGGGGCACAATAATCACAAATTTCCCATCGTCAGCTGTTCTCATCCCACCCGCCTCCCCAGTTTCCCATGCCTGGACTCGCCTCTGCGCCCCCTGGGTATGTCGCCTGGACGCGCCACTGCGCGCGGCGTCATCGGCAGTCGAGCGGGGCAGGTGGGGAGCGGTGGAGAGACCGTTTCTAACCGGTGTGTTTAGTGCAGTTCCGTTGGTGAAAACTCCACGATGGCAGGGAGAACGGGTGATAGAAATGCGATTTACGTGTTGAGTGTGGTGCTATTGATGCTGAAATTCGGTGAGTTTTATTTTGGAGTCTGGGATGTAGCTGTGGTGTTTGAAGGGTAATACTAGGCGTGGTTTCACTGGTTCTAATGTTAGCGCTTGTTTGAATGTTCAGTAACTATAATTTCGAACATATGCTGCTGTTTTTCCAAAACCTGCGTTGTAATGGTTAGATTTTCCGTTGTTTGTCTTTCGAATATCTCTTCGTATGAGTGTGCAATTGTGAGGAAAGCTTTGAGTTCAAGTTGTGTTTGTTTAATGTCTCTTGATCACGTCGTTTGCAGGTTTCCGGTCCGGCGGGATAACTTCGTATGTTTGTCCATTTCTCCGTATGTCTGTCTGTCTGTCTGTCTGTCTGTCTGTCTGTCACAACCTGTTTACCATGACTCAAATCTTAGCCACATCGCCAATATTATGGAAACTTCGGATGACGTCTGTGCTGTCGGTTAGATGATGGATGGTTTGCGTTTTGCGTTTTAGTCCGGTGGCTGCCGTAAATCCTCATCCATAGCCGATTTCTCTAATAGATTACAGAAGTTAGAAGACCTTGCTATATTCTCATGACTAGCGTCAACCATGTTCTTATAGTAGGGTGTGGATAGAACGGGATTTTACGTTCATATTCAAATTCCTCCGTTGACTGCCGGAGCCAGAAATGCGGTTTCGAGGTTGCGTTGGGGGGGGGGGGGATGCACGCTCTGAAAAGTTTCTCTGATTTCCAAAAGCTCAAGCTTTGCTTACTCACGGGCCTTAAACACGGCTCAAACATTTTCTATGAAAGCTGTTTAATATTTTGTATGCGAGAAAACGACAAAATGGTGTCAATTTAGGGTTTGTGAGAGGGTCGAATGCCGCAAGTGCTGCTGGTACCTATAGTGTCTGAACGTTTCGGTCGGGAAAATATCTCAATTGTCCATCGGAAGCTAGCACATGCGTGATTCGTACAGAGCACATCGTAAAAATATTAGCACGGTTCCGATTTCACACTGTGGTTTCCGCTAGCCGAACGTGTGACCAGCGATCCGTTAGCGACCTCGCTGATGAAGCCCGTTACTGTCACGCCTTGACTCCGGGCAGGGCAGATCTCGTAAGTCGTAGCTCCTGCCTCGTAATAGTCACAGTGTATATAAATAGTAATAGTAACTTAGAACTACAGACCGGAACGGCTCTTTCTTCACCGGAACGGAAATTTCAGTGCAATAAAATGAGTTCATGTGTACATAAATAATCGCCTCATCTTTGCAAACAACACCAAAATGGAAAAGCGGACAACCGATGAATTTTTTTTCGTACGTCGGGACAGAAGGAGGCTGGTGAACTGTAATAAATTTATCATGTATTACACCCATGGCTACATTATATGCCTACACACCCAGAGCAATGAGCATGATGTGCATACTGAGCATACATACTTCTTTTAGTTTTTTTTTTTAATGAATCTCGATGTTTTAGGAGGTGCTTTAGTGGAGACATCCTTGATGTTCCTTCCCATTAGTTCCTTCTATGCCTCCCTATTGATGATCTTCAAGGTGTGTAACGTTTATCGTTTTCGTCTGTTATCGCCTTTCCTCCCTTCAGCCATGTGGTCTAAATGTACCTATAGGGAAGCATCGTATGCTTTATGTCAGTCCCATTGCATGCACCTAACGATTATACATTTTCATGGTTTAATTAATGTGCGTCGTACATTGCCTACATTTTGTTCTTTTGTTTTCACATGTAACTATTTTCTAAATAGATACGAAAATGTCATTGTCAGTTCGTTGTGTTCAATTTGTTGCGTTCGTTCTGTATTTCCACGTTTATGCCGTCTTATTTTCAGTTTTTTTTTTTTTTACCGGTCGATTTACATGTTTTCCGTTTTATTTCCTATTACATTTTGTTCTTGACTTTGGTTTCGTCAATTAGCGCCCGGTCGCACGGCTGTACTAGAGTGTTGGCCTAGGCCTTGGGTCTGTATCGCTCGTTTCTTTTATGAATTATGTTCCGTTAATTTTTAGCACCTGGCTACACGGCTATAGTGTTATGTGTTACACTCTTTCCGTTTTTTTTTTTTTTACTTATGTTCCGTTATTTGTTCCAGGGACTTGCACGGTTGCAGTGTTTTCACTGTTTAGTATCTGTGAAACCCGTTCCGTTTTTACGTCTGTTTCGCTATTTGCATGCTTCTGCAGTCTTTTCAAAACGTTCCGTTATTGACTCGTGTTCCGTTATTTGTTTTAGCGCCTGTTTGCATGGCTATCGAGAGTTAGATTATGCATAGGTGTGACACTCGTTCTGTTTTTGACTTATGTTTCGTTTTTAGTTTCAGCGCCTGGCTGCACCGCTATTGTATTCCTGTGTCATTCGTTCCGTTTTTGACGTCTGTTTCGTTAGGTGCATGTTTCTGCGGTGTTTTCAAAACATTCCGTTTTTGACTTAGGTATGTTTCGTTATTTGCTTTAGCGTCTGGTTGCACGGCTATCTAGTGTGTTCCTTTTTGACTTATGTTCCGTTATTTTGTTATAGCGCCTGGCTGCACGGCTATCGAATGTTATGTCTGTGACAGCTCCTCACAAATCGGCTGTGCCGAGTTTCTCACCGATACGTCACTGCTGGAGCCCGAATCTTGCGATAATGTCTACGACGCCAAATATTGCGTCAAGATGACGCAAGTGTTCGAAGGTGGGTAACGAATAAATGCATGCGGCAGAACTCGAAGGGCTCCTGATAGACATGTTGTGCATTGTACTCACACTACGATGTCCTTGATTTTAACAAACTTTACCATTCCAGAATTTCCAAGCGTCCGTCTATGCTTCGCACGTGCAGCCTCCTGACGCCTACCGGTGACCGGTATGAACTAACCCTATCCGTTCTAACACCAGGTGGCAGCACTGTAACCAAAACCCTGTACTAACCCTTTCTTTTTCTGCGCAGCTGGTGGTGCCATTGACTGTTATCAATGTGATACATCACACGATTATTACTGTGGAGATAGATTTAACGCCGAAACTGCGGCCAATTTGGGGATTATTCCCCGGCCATGCGACGATCTCTATGATGCGGCGTACTGCATCAAGACGACTGGAATATTCGGAGGTAGAGAGTGTGTTTTCGGCTTGAGATTAGGCATGATTTATTTTGAACGGTTCCACATGTCGGAATTTTTTGTTTTTGCACCTTGCATTTCGTGTTTACGGTTGATTTTTGACGGGCTTTCGTTTCGTATACGTGCATGTAGTTCGTAATTAAATCTATGCTGCAAATTAAATGACATCGCTGCATGAGGCAACGTACGCAAAACCGCAAAATTATGTTGTTTATCAACGTTTCACAGATGTCCCACTCCGTTGCCACTGAGAGACGATTATAAACGGTCATAAACGGAACGATTATAAACGGAACATTATATACAAGGGGTCGCCTTCGTTTTTTAGGAAAGACTGAGTAGTTAGATGTGTCAGACTCAGTGCACTGTGCCTCCGAAAGATCTGTTTTGCCCTGAATTTGAAGTGATGGACTGCACGGAAACGTTTCCAATCGTTTTAGATAAGTTTTGATGTGGTCAATTTGCTAGATATGTATATGTTGCAGGCACTTTAGAAAATCAGTCATTTTGTAAAGTGCCTAGGCATTTTACAAAAAGACGGCTGTTTGAAAAATGACTGAACGCAACCAGGCTTTTTTTCAAAATGGCTAGCCATTTTACAAAATGACTAGGCATTTTGCAAAATGCCTGACCAGCATGGAACGTAGATCCCACTACAGATACTATGGCCGAAGTTTTTGGACGTCTTCCTATACCCTATAGGTACGTGTTCAGCCTGTAGCTGATCGATTTGAAGCTCTGTGATGACGACAATGCTGAGTAACGACCAGGTTGAGTTGCAGACTCGGCTGTAGCATAAAGCATTGTTTAGTTAACGCTGTAAAAACTCCCAAGTACATCAACGCCGTTCACGTTCTGCCTGAAATTAGACCTAACAAAACCAGCCGGAGACCGGCCCTAGTCAATAGGCAGGCCCGGTTGATGTACAATTACATGTAAACGAATGAGTGTAGTCTTTGTTTGATTGTGTCTTTGTTTGACAGCTTTGAGTACCTACTGGCATGGTCCCAGTTAAAAATATCAAGCTCCACATCGGGAGAATCATCAGGTCGCTTGGCGTAGGACGAGAGCGTTGGTTTCAGAAGACACTAACGCCTAAGTGTGTGGGATCGAATCCTCGCGACCTCTAATGGTTTTACATATACAGGCCGGCATAGGGCCAGTCGTTTGTTGACGCTCCAGATCGATCATTTTAAATCCAGCAGCGTCGCTGACGTGGGGGTTGGAAATGTCGCGGGCCTGCACTTCTCAAAATAGAGAGAAGTAGGTATGGACTTCCCACTGCTGGACTCCTCTGGTCATAATGCTGGACTCCTCGGTCCACATACACGCTACCAAAACGTATATAATTAGGTACTCGTATCTACAACACGCTGCTCAGTCATTTTGTAAAATGGCTAGGTATTTTGTAAAATGCCTAGGCATTTTGCAAAATGACTGGAGAGTTAGTCATTTTGTAAAATGCCTAGGCTTTTTGCAAAAAGCCTGGAAAATCAGGCATTTTGCAAAATGCCTAGGCATTTTACAAAATGACTGATTTTCTAAAGGGCCTGCACTGACCGGCCGGCCGGCCGCTCATACTCAGAAATTTCCGTTAATCTAAGGAAAGACTACGCTCGCTTCGCTCGCTCCGTAATTATGAGAAACACAACACTCATTTCGTCGTGCTAAAGTCACAATCCATTTATTTTTGTGTGCGTATGGTTTTATTTTCGTGTGACATTGCACGCTTGTTTTGGTGTCATCACGAACGACAACGACACGAAAATTACGAACAATGTCTCCTTGCAACACGCCACTGTTTCATTATCGATCGCTTACGCTCGTGTGTCAACGTACTAACTAATAAAATATATAGCATTATCGACTTCAGTATTGTAACTCAATAGTGAGTTCTCGAACCGTAGCTTACACCAAGAGTTTTTCCGCAAAAAAAGTCATCGTTTGTGGATAACTGTTGACTGTTGTATTTCACACACCTTCTTTCCCCCACAGGTCAACTGGGCACAAAGCGATTCTGTTCATCACGTGACTTCGGCAACTACTGTGAGTGGGTGAACCGTCCAGGAGATCCCAACACCTACCAAGCCTGCGTGTTAACTTGCTCAACAAATGCCTGCAACACCGCCTCGGGCAGTAGGGCAGCCACGCTTCTGGTCGCCATGGCAACGGCGCTCGGATTGGTCGGCTGGCTGCGAGCGGCGCGGTGATTGGTGCGTCGGTGGTGACCTGTCGTCGTGGGATGTGAAACGTGATTGTGTGAGTATTCGAGGCTAGTTTTGTGTGAGAATGGATGCTGGAGCGGATTTGGGAATTGAAGGCTTGTGTGAAATATGAAATTTGGCGAATGCTGCGAAAGAGATAACGAAATGAGTGTGAAAGAGCGTCATTTGTGAAGTGTAGTGAAGGTTAGGCAGAATGTCCCTGTGCAAAACTGTTTTGCACATACGTATATCGCACTTCACATGATCTGACTGAGGTGGTGTAAGGAACCTGTTTGTAGGTGTTTTGTACTGGCATGCGATTTTAAGTTATCACGACTGCCGCCTTCATCTAATGCTGCTTCAAGATCTGTGTCTTTATATAACGCTTTTTTTTCTAGCTACCGTTTGCGAACTGTCCTGGTTTGTTGAAGTATATCTTTCTGTTTCAACATCATTGTACATAGGTACCTATTGCTTTACTTTATAGCTGATTGCAATATCCACTTTTACGCCTTTTATTGGAGAACTCGCTGCAATATTTTGCGTTTTTCCGTGTATACGCCCGCTGTTGAAATGTACTACACATTCTACTGCTTAGCGTACTTCCACTTGGCCTCAGGCTGTCCGATTATTTTGCATAGTTCGCGTAGACTGCCGTGCCCATTACGCTTTCTACGATAGCCCCTCATGCTGAATCAGCGTAGCGTTTACTCGCGCTAGGGACCAATTAAGCGTGATTTCTTCAACACCGTAATATCCTGTATTCAACGCTCTGTTGTCATGGAAAATTGTTGTACGTATTCAAACACCCGTTGTCATGGAAATGGGTTGTGTGTGAAAACTCGTCGTATTGTCGGGTTCAGAAACATGCCGTCCCTTCAGCGCTGTGCGTATTTACGATTTTCGCGTTATTGGAGAGAAATTTGTTAAAATGTTTCATGTATTTGTAACGACAACCGTATCCGTCAAATGTAGAAAATATGTGAAATTAGCCAGTAAGACGTGGTAAAGGCACTCAATACATGCTGCCCGCCTATTGGCTCATGTTTTTATTGAGGTAGGCATTTTTGTTGGTCCATGATATTAAGTAAAGAATTCGTTCTTTTCGCGTTACACCTCATACTCCACCATTCGCACATACAATTACACACACAATTAACAAAGCCTATCTAGATCGATGTTACATATTTTTATTAGCTATCTTTGATTAGCTCGCTGAGTTTGCACATGGTCTCAGCGAGTTCCATGAAAAGCTTGCCAATGTTTGCCTCTTCTCCGTTTTCAAACACCTTATAAGTAGTTAGTTACACCACCTTATAAGTTATAACGGACATCCAGACACAACTCAGCACATGCTGACATTTTTGCTCTCTTCTGGTGTGCTGGTCTGTATTTGTTGGTGTCAAGCCGCTGGCTGAGATTTTCCACGAAACAGGCGATGGTGCCAGCTGGGTACAGGGTGGGACATGTGCCCTTCCGAGTCAGTTTGTTGAGGCCATCACAAAATACTTTAGTTATACGGTTGAAAAACGTTTGTCCCAGAGAACGCAGAAAAATGGCAGACGTTTGTAGAAATGATGACGAAAACGTATGGCTCACAGACGACAGACTTTTTCTTGTCAGTGTGAGGAAGGGCGGCTGTTGCCATGGAAGGGCAAGGTCAAAGTTGCCGTTTGCTGGAAATGGGAATTTCCATCTTTGTCTTACATTGAGCGTATGATCTGCTTCCTTTCTGCTAACTGAACTCCGAAATTGAATAAAATGCTAAAAAATGACATTTTAGCATTGATGGGTACTTTCGCTCTTAACAAATTAAATATCACATTAGTATAGAAGCCGACATGTTTTCTATGCATATGAGCGATCGGTATCTGGCACCTATGAATAGCAAAGGCCAAAGCCGTAACTACTTGTCATTAATTGGGATAATTTTTTAAATTTCGTTTGATAACAACACACAGTCCTATTTGTCTTAGGTCAGCGACTTTGCACTATTCCAGTGGCGCGGGAACCGGGGGGGGGGGCTAGGGGGGGGGGGGCTGAGCCCCTCCAACTTTTCGGCTGGGGGGGCTCGTAATGTATTTGAGCCCCCCCCCCCCCCCCCAGCTGGAGGAATCGAAATCGGAAATCTACCAACACAATTTCATAGATTCATACATAGGCGCGGGAACCGGGGGAGAGGGCAGTGGGGGAAGCTTGCCCTCACAACTCTGGGGCCGTGGGGGCGGTGCCTCACAACTTTTCATGAGGCCAGGAACCGTTGGGGCGGCTTGTCCTCCCCAAATTAGGGGTTGTGAGTCACAAAGGAAGAAAGCATGTGAGTGAAAAATCTACCTATTTTACTGACTCGGCAACTCAGTTGACAGATTAAAACCTTTATTCCAGGTTGCCAAAACGGTAGTTTCTTCACTCAGCTGAGACGGAATACCTCACTTTTTTTTTGCAAATATTTTCTTCTTCTTTTTTCGTTGAAAAGGCCAAGGTCTGAAAAATAAGTGGCCTAAAACCGATGAGAAAACTAGATTTGGGGGTACCCTAGGTTGATCTCTGTGATGGTTCAGCCCCCCCCCCCCCCCCAGTCTGGAAGAAGTTCCCGCGCCACTGCACTATTCACTGGAATTCGTCACGTCATCAACCTATCGCTTCACTAGGTACACACGATTCAAATTATATATCATTTTTAGGCGTATCGTAGCCCATTGGCAGTTTTAGGAGTCCACTGCCAGTGCCGTCTTAGAACATCAACCAAAAGTCATATTCACCACCCAAACATGCAGCATCGCGAGAATTAACTAGACACATTAACATTTATCTTCTCCCCCAGGATGCATGTGGAAACTGATGAGTTCTCATCCTCTTGTCTGTCTGACAGACAAGAGGATTCGGGTAAAAGTACTATAGAAATTGCACTAAGTTTACGAGGCGAGCATTACAGATTTTAGCGTTGAGGATCGAAATAATGTTTCTGGATAAGCCACCGGCCCAGAGTCCATATACCTGACCGACTGACATGCACCAGACCTTACTGGCACAATGCTAAGGTCTGGTTACAACGGCACCGTATTTTTTCTTTTGGTGACGTCATACTCACACCACAATACTGCGGAGCGGTCAGAGAAAATCAGTTGTTTGGCTAATTACGAGCGAGCGAGCGCAGCGAGCGAAGCGAGTCTTTTCAATATGAGGGAAAAATCTCAGTATGAGCGGCCCGGCCCGGCCTGTAACGCTTTTGAGAGGCTTATATCTCAGCAACCGCTGGACTGACTGGCATGCGGTCTTTTTTGCTGGGTAGCACCATCCCTTCTACCCCGTAATTGACTACTTTTGATACACCTCAGTGACCGTCGTGGCACGTGCCACGTGAAAAGTCAAGGGTGTTCAAGCTGTCCTGCAAAAGTAGTGATTTTGAGAGGCTCATATCTCAGCAGCCGCTTGGGCGATTGACTTGCGGTGATTTTTGTAGGGTAGCAGCATCCCTTCTACCAAAAATAGGATACTTTCGATGCATGTGGGTCACCCCCAGCGCACGTGCAAAATACAACAATAAGAGGTGTCAAATTTGTTCCCATTTTACCTAATAGCTCGGTAATTACGGGGGCGATTTCGCTGAAACTTGGCATACAGGTAGGCACCCACCAGGCAATGCATTCCCATGTGTTGCGGTTAGGGTGCTACTGCACGTGCGCACGTGCAGGGGGCACTTCCAGATCTCGAGAACGGCTGGGCCGATTGCGCTCAAATTTGGTACACGGTTGGGGACCAGTTAGTAGGGTGCCGTGCAAAAGTCAGTTTGGACCCCGTTTGCACGTGCGCACGTGCAGAATGCCGCTTCCAGACCTCAGGAACGGCTGGGCCGATTGCGTTCAAATTTGGCACACCGCTAGCGACCGGTTAGATGGGTGCTTTGCGCAAGCACGCTGGATGTACACTCTCGCCCTTCCGCACGTACAGGGCTCACTATCTCGCTCGCTCGTTCTTCGCCCAAAAGGCGTTTTACTGGTATTAGTGTCTCGAATGCATATATTACAAACGACTGAGTGATTGCGAGATGGGTTAGTCCCAGGGCTGCGGAATCGGAGTCGAAATCGGAGTTGGAGTCGGTCGCAGTCGACAATTCTGCCCGGAGTCGGGATCGGAGTTAACCATGGCTCAACGTCTGCACTGCACCTGTTTGATTGACGATACTGCGCTCGAAATTAGATTTTGTCGAAAAAAGAGCATTTTGCTGTTTTGGACGAACGTTTTCAGCGAAAGAAGCAGAAGACGGTGAGTTCCCCAGAACCGGCTTTTTAATTCTGCATGTAATTTTTAATGCATATTTGCAACGCAAAGCCTTGGAACGCACAAGGGATCATTTCAGGCAAGATAAAAACATCTCCATTATGAACTTCAATATCATGATATTGATTTTAATAGAATCGTCCGGAGTCCGAGTCGGAATTGGAGTCGGAGTCGGAGTCCGATTCCGATTCACCCTTAAATCCATCGACTCCGCAGCCCTGGTTGGTCTTGTCAGAAACATCTATAATGCCTTTTTCCCAGGTGTCATGGCGGCTCCGGCTCCGGCTCCGAGTAAAATGGTCCGGCTCCGGCGGCTCCGGCTCCGGGTGAAATGTCATGGCGGCTCCGGCGACTCTGGCTCCAGCTCCGGCTCCGGCTCCGCACCCCTGCTTTTTCCGGCTCAGGTCATGTCGCTATCCCTCGCCCCGTTGGAGAGGGGGGGGGCGGCAATATGGCCCCTCTGTGTTTTTTCCTGAATAGCACAGTGGCGGCGGAAGGTATTCTAGGATAGGGGTGCAAACGATATTGAAGCGCCCCTTCCCGCTGGGCGCCCCTTACCATATACACGGTTGTAGTAACACAAACAGTGGAGAGACGTTTGACAATGTGTTGTACCTGTTAATACGTTCAGAATTACAGTTTTTATGTAACGAGAAATAGTTAGGTACATTCCATAGCGTAAATGTAACCTTCATAATGTTCGTTTAGAAACAACCTCATCACCATATCATAAGATTCTCCGAATAAGGCATATCGAAAAGAGTTCCACGGTTCAGTGAAATTAATGCCGCCCCAATCTCCGATAGGCGCCCCAGGTGATACATGTCGCCAATCAACACCAACGGGCGCCCTATTGAAATGAATACCGCCCTTCAACACTGGCAGACGCCCCAGTGGAATGAATGCCGCCCCACAATGCCGATGGCCGTCCCTGCACTGGAAAATCAGTTTCGCCCCTATACAGGCGCCCATAGAAGTTTGCAGAATGCTATTCCTGGTCATAATCATCTCCCCAGTAAAAAACGCAAAATACGCCCTAGCACTAGGGGTGTAACCGCCCATACGGACAGTGCAATTTTACAGGTCCCAATCTCGGACCTCCCTTAACATTCATATTTTGTAAACGGCAAACCGCCCCCGATAAATGTTACACAAACTAATTTCCTCTCGCATATCGGCCATCAGGCGCCCCTTTTTGTCGCATGGAGCCTGCAACGCTATAAGCCCTCATATGTTCGTGTTGGCGTTCGGAGGCTATCGCCTTCAAAGACGTCTCCATACATGTTTCTTTTTCGTCCCACACACAGGCGCCCCTCTTTCGCATGCAGGCGCCCCTCTTCCGCATGGCGCGCTTCTCGAGTGGCTGCGCCCTCCTAGCCTTTATCGCCTGGCAAGATTATATTCGACAGGGTCGGCAGCATCTGCCTTTGTTTCAGATAAGGATGCCCTCCACTCTTCAGCATATCAAAAGATACTTTTCCCAAGTCATTGCCACCCTCTTCGTGTCACAAGTGCCTTTATCAGTTGCGGTGTCGCACTGCTCAGCTTTATGGCCGCCGCACCTCTTATAACTTCCTGCCTCCTCTACAGATTTTCGAGGCGCCCCTTTCCATAGCTTTAGGGTGCAGCTGCCCCCCTTGCCCCCCTGCTTCCGCCGCCACTGGAATAGCAAGAAAACGGCGGCGCGCAAGGGCGCCAAATTTTTAGTAGGTACCTTCCCAGGCATCAATTTGACACCCTCACACAAAATTTCAAGTCTTAGGTCACCCTAGGTCGGGAGTTTCGAGGTCAAACTGAGGTCATGTTCGAACAAAAATGAGCAAAAAAAAAAACATGAAATCTTGAAACGCTCACAAAAGCTACAGTTAACAAGCAATTTGAAAATTCTTTATATGGTCATGTACAGACATGTGCATGGATCCGAGTGATGGATCTATGATCTCAGTGGATCTCGATGCAAAATGTAGGTTTGGATCTATGATCCCACCGAATCTGGCGTGAAAAATTTATCTTGGATATCTATGCTTGGATCTATGATCTCACAGGATCTGACCATAAACCAAAAGCATGGATCTATGATCTGAGTGGATCCCACCATGAACAACATTTAAAAGCAGGTTTCTAAGTGTCTCTATGTCAATAAGTGCCATAAAACTATGGATTATGACGTGTTGTCACATAACAGAACTAAATAAGAACGTTTGTGAGTTGCAACGAGCGATTTTTTGGGATTTCTGTGTTGACCAAAATAAGTGAGGATCTATGATCCCACTGGATCTCAAGCAAAAATACTAGACTCGGATCTATGATCCCTACGGATCTCTCGATAAATTAAAGAGCTGGATCTATGATCCCGACGGATCCGAGATCAGGATCCGTTGGATCAGATCCCAGATCCATTTTCTCGGATGCATGCACATGTCTGGTCGTGTAGAGAAAAAACGGCGCTACAAAACTACTATTGCAGATTATTAAAAATTGTGATTTTGGCCACCAAAATAAAAAATGAACGCAAAAATCCCAAAAGTTTTTCGAATTTCAAAAACGGAATATATGATAGTCCCTGCGCTCTTCCATCTGCATACCAAATTTTAGATTGATACCTCCTTTTTTGGCTAAGTTATAGCGAAAAAACTGTTCAAAATTGGTAACGTCTGATTTTGAACTCAATTTTTAGCAATTCTAGAACACGTAGCGTAAAACATAGACCACCATTAGACTCCCCGTGACGAGCTGCACCAAATCGATACCCATTTTATGCAAAAATATCAAATTTGAACTTTTACATAATTTGACCTGAATTTGACCTGACCTTCACCAGAACATACATAATCTAAACTTACCCAAAGGCTGCCTGACCCACATAAACGCATTTTTCATGTAAAATGGACCATAAAACATGCCTCACCTGATACTTTCATATTGACCTGACCTCTGTTACCTGACCTGGTATCAGTGACCTCAAATAGAAAAATAGGTACCTATGTGTTTGACGAAGAATTTCCCATCGATGATTTTCAATGACATGCATTTTACTCTATTTTACAAAGCATTTCTTGAAATGCTTGTGCAGGGTAAAAATTTGACATTTGACCTGACCTGTGACGTCATCGGTTTGACCGCAGTCAAAGAAATTGGGTCACAAAGGTAGTTCCCCGTTGAGGCTATCCAACCCCGTTTGCTGCTTGTCGCTATGTTGCGTGGTTCTCGCAATCTTGGGGGGGGGTGAAATGACCCCCCCCACAGCGGTACGCGTTGCTCGGCGGACCCCAACGGGGCGCGGGTTAAAGGGACTATCCCACCTTTAACATGGGGTTTGAGTTGAGATAGCCAAGTTTGCGGCGAGGTTCAGAAACCACTATCTATCTAGGTTGCAACCCCCGCGGCCTCTTGGTGTTGAAGAAATTCGTTCCCTTCATTTGAAAATGGGCCTTGTACAAGGCCCTATCTTCAACATGGAGCGACCGTTAGTGTGACGTCACTTCGTTTAGTCATTCTGATTTAAATGGGTTTGTCCGTTGAAAAACCGCTTAAAACTTGGTCTGAACTTTGTTGTGGTGCCTACAGAGTAAAAAGAATCAGCTTTATGACAGTAATGTGGCCTGGGGAAGGAGGTAATTTTGGGCTGTGACGTCACATATTTGAAAGTTTGTGTTTGGAATATGGGAAGCCTAAGATGTTTAATGAAAAATAAATGCCAGAACCGTGTTCCTGTTCATCCAATCTATAAAGTCGGGCACAATTTAACTGGTTTTAACAACATTTTAGAAGGTGGGATAGTCCCTTTAAGCCATGGTGTAATTTGACCGAAACTTCCAGCTGTCCACATCAACTGGGCCACTGGGCATATCGTAAAGGACTTCATGCCCTTTTGTTTCACCTACATACAACTTTATTCCTACCTTTATCGTCATGTTTCAACCAGGGCTGCGGAGTCGGAGTCGGAGTCGGTCGGAGACGACAGTTGTGACCGGAGTCGGAGTCGGAGTCGGAGTCGATTTTAGAAACCCGAGCCGGAGTCGGAGTCGGAGTCACCGAAAATCTGTCGACTCCGCAGCCCTGCTAGGTCTGCGGAGTCGGAGTCGGGAGTTGGAGTCGGTCGGAGTCGACAATTCTGCCCGGAGTCGGAGTCGGAGTCGGAGCTGGTTTTTGAAAGCCGGAGTCGGAGTCGGAGTCGGAGTCGCCGAAAATCCATCGACTCCGCAGCCCTGGCTTTCAACTACTAATACTAACTAGTGTAATTATGTTTTCTGTGGAATCGGGTAGATGGCGAAACCAAAGCCAAAAATCATAATACGAAGCGAATAATAGGAAGAGTTTAATCAAATAGCTTCTCCTCTTACCCTTCTTCTGAAATGTTCCTTACTTTTCTGCCAAATCATCCACGGATACCCTTATCCGCCGTCTCTCGTAAGAACAAAAACAGCCGTCAAGCAGCCTAAACACTCCCGTCACCCTACCCCTCCCCACATTATGTTGACTTTATAAAGCCCGCCGTGCTGCTCTGATACAGCAGTTATACCTTCGCAGCTGTAGCTAGCGCAGGAGACTTGTGAGCATTTACAGAAGAAGAAAACAAGATGGACGCCAAAGCGTTTATAGTGTTCGGATTGATTGCCGTGCTCGCTGTGGCTTACGGTAAGGCTTGGTGTTTTCATTGGTTATTGGTAACTTTGATAGTAACTGCTGTAATCGCTCTGTTGTCCCAGTGATCAACACAAAACGCTGCTCAATGACGCTAGAATATGGTCATTTGGCGTACCTAAACATAAAGTTAGGAGAAACGGTTAAACTTAGGTACTATTTTATTATGCCTTTTTTGCTGATGGCCTGTGGATAGCTTTTTTTGTATTTATGTTTTGATTTTGATTTTGGGACTTCTGTGATATTTGAAGTTACGAAAAGGCAGTCATACTGCAAGCAAAAATGTACTATTTTGTTTTGGTGTGTGGTGCTGAATTCACCGCAGCAATTGAACATGTTCTTATCAGCAGCGTGCTTGTGTTTGAGGATTATCAAATGATATCAATGATTGTTTTTGCTTTTTTAATGATGTTCAAAGCCGGCTTTTATCCGTTTTTCAGCCGAGCGGGCCTGCTCGTGCAATAACGACTGCCCCGCCTTCAAGCCGTACTGCATAGCCGGCACGTGCCGCTGCTCCGCCGCTGCCACACCCAGCACTGAGGATCACCCCTGTGAGTTGAGAGATATGGAAATCGACCTTACTGCATGGGGTGACTTGGTCGATGTTAGCTTGGAAAAGTATGCTTAGGAAATTTTGCCATGTTTATAATTTATTGCAATATGCTGACTCAGATGTCTTGTTTTTAACGTTCCGTAAGTGAAGAGCAATGCCATGAAAACGTATTTACCTATCACAAGAGCGTTTTGAACGAACAATGCTGTTTTAGTAAAAGTAAACTATACTTTCATGTATTCAATTAGCTTTTTACCTACCGCTAAAAATGATTAAGTTTTTTGCCATTCGACGAACAGCCTTTTGAAGAAAAAAGAAGAACGGTTGAACGGTCTTTTGAGGAAAACGAAAGTCTTTTGTTTAGGTATTCCCTATTCGCTCCGTCTCCTATTCACGCCTCTTTGACACAACGCGTAATTTTTGTGATCTTTTTTACACTCGGACTTTTAAGCAGTCTGTTTTTTACTCTCGCGTTTTTTTTTTAGCCTCACCTCCCTCTTCTTTTCTCAGCGTGTCTCCGATGCACCCATCTGTGCAGCTGTCCTCGCCTCGTCTACAACGAGTGCATCAACGGCTTCTGTGGAAAATATAACGGAATCAGGCCCACTCCAACTGTGACGGTGACCGTCACATCTACCATCACCCGGCTCGGTACGTAATGGTGGGCGCAATGGCACGTAACGGTGGACGTGACGGTACGTAACTGTGGACGTAACGGTATGTAACATTGCACTTAACGGCACGTAACGGTGGACGTAATGGTACGTAACGGTGGGTGTAATGGTACGTAACGGTGCACGTAACGGTGGACGTAACGGTGGACGTAACGGTGGACGAAGCGGTACATAACGGTGGATGTAGCAGTACGAAACAGCTCGGTATGTAGTCGAAGTGCAAATTAGACGGGCGATTCGTTTTTGCGAAACATGAATTTACGGGAGAGATGCACTAGAGAGATTTATGTTCGCTATTTCATCATTATGGCTGTAGGTTCTATCGAGTAGCATACCATACTTATTGTCGATCGGATACTTTATTTACCATGGAAATTATACCTACATGAATCCTGTTTGCGTGCGTGAACTGCAACGCACACAATTATTTCACGCCCGTTTAGGTAGAGCGGGCTTTAATGTTTAACCTACGCTATTTGCTGTATGATTAAACGGTGCTTTAGAGTGGAATGGTCAGCTTTACACTTGTTACTGTAACTTGTAGTTTTATTTTCGTCCCTTTTCACGCTTGATTCTCACAATGATGTGTCTTCCTTTTTATGTTTACAGTTCCGTCGAACATTCCGTAATACCAAACAGATCCGAGCAAGATGAAACTGGTTACAACCAGATAAAACCAGACTGAACCAGATCCAGCCGGTGGACCAGCACGCAGCTCAAATGACGCAAAATATGCAGGAGATGAAGAAAACGCAAAGTGTGACTGCGTAGACAGACAACGTGTAAAAAGTGTGATGTGTGTTACGATGGTTACCTAGGGGGCTAAGACGGAGTTCCCTTGTATGTACCTAATCAGGTGCGATTAAATCGTGTACGATACGGATGGCTTTTAGGCATACGTAAGTCGTAACAATGCTTCCCCCCAAAAAAAACGTTCGGTTTCTCATTGGCGGATCCAATGGGGGACATTCTGGGTCAAATGCCCTCCTCCGCAACGTCCGAAATGGAAAGAAAATTTACGTTTTTTTATAACGAAACGAAAACATAACGACTTTTATTAGGAAACGTTTGTTTTAAACTGCACAGCAGTGTGCAAGAAATTAAAGGAGTTTTTGGAATTTGGAGAAACTTTTGGAGGTATGACTCGAAACGTTCAAGCCCGCTTTTCTTGATCCGCTAATGAGTCTTTTTTTTTAGATAAGTCTCAGGGAAATATGATGTGCGGCATTGGGGAGTCCTCGTATGATTATGGATGGATATACCTAGGTATGGAATATACGTTACAGATTTCTGTGTATATATCAGTAGATGAAACTTTTCGAGACGTTAAAATCAAAACACACGAGGCAGAGACAACGTGAAGCATTGGCAAAATATAAAAATATTTACGTGTTTAAAGGCATGTAGCAAGATAAACCTACAACACTGGTGCATTCTACGATTTTGTGGTAATATAATAGGTACCTACTAGGGGAGAGTGGGGTGGGTTGTATCAGTTTTTACTCCGAGACCCATAACCTCGTAACTGTCCGTGATAAACTCATTATTTCCATACCATCCCCTTCCTTGATTCTTCTCTTCTGCTTTTTTGTGCAAAGTAACTTTTCCGCTACCTCTACCAGTTTTTCTTCCACGGTCTGCCGAATAGAACAATGTTTTTGATACAACTTGCCCCATGGCTTGGGTGAGTTGTATCACATGGTGGGGTAATTTGTATCACTATTTCACGTTTCAGGGAGTGTGCTTGCTACTGGTTATGAACATAACAACAACATTAAATGGGGTTAATACAATGTATAGGTATGCTCAAAGGCTTCACTTTTATTAGACCAAACTTAGGTCAATGCAATCCGAACGAAACATCAACTAAACGCAAAAGTGGCCCGTTAAGAGCAAAGAAGCCAACACATTGTGCCGAAATGGAACGAGCATTGACTAGCTACCTACAAACGCGAGCCAGGGCTTAGCTTTCGCGATCAAAAGCAGCATACCCATACATACACACATACATACATACATACATGTTACAACATACCCCACCCGGCTCTGATACAACATGTACCTAGCCGCCATCTTGGAAAAAACATCCTCGTGCTAAAAAAACAGCGGACAGCTGGAGAAATCCGTTTTCACTCACGCAGCCTTAGAACCTACCCTCACCACCGCTACGGAGATCTTTCAAATTCGTGCACATCTTAATGCCCAAAACACACATTTTCTTGCAACTTATTTTTTTAGAATGACATTAAAAAACATAAAATCGGCTCTCACCTCGAGACGCGTCCACTCAGCCACAAGACAGAACAGGGAAAGATGGCGCCCGGAAAACCTCGTCGGCTGGTCGTGTCACGAGCGCCATCCATTGGATAAGTTTGGCACAATTCGCCCTGATACAACTTGGACATGATACAACTCTCCCCGCTCTCCCCTACCTAGGTATGCTACCAGAACCAACCATGCGCATTTTGGAAGATACGGGGAAGGTAAAAAAGGGCGAGTCATATGAAAAGTGCCTCATAAAAGTGGGACTGGCGACTTCCAGAAAAGCAGTGTTGAAGGTTCGGAGCCAGGTATTAACTCCATCCAACCTCTCCAAATAAAACCTCATTGTTTTTTTTTTTTAACTAGCTAGGCAGGCACTGTGAAATTTAACGCAAACTTTTCAAAGAATGTTTAATTTTCTTCATTTGGAGTATTTCTTTTTTTGCCATAGATTTATGATTTTCTATGCTCAAAATGATCAGCGAAGAAAATAAAACATTTTTATAAAAAAATTATTTTTTATATTTAAATATAACTCTATTACTGGTAGGCTTTGTAGACAACGTTAACTGGTTGTGGGGGGAGGAGGGGAGCCGATTCGGCCCCCTTGATATCTCGAAAACTAAATGTCCGATCTTAATGGGACAAACGCCATTCGATTGCTCTCATCGTGAACTTTCAGATTGACTATAATAGTAAAAAAAATCAAAATTGGGGGTCCTGGAAGCAAATATTTTCGAACAAAAATCGCGTTTTACACCTCATCACTAAAAATGCTCTAACTCCTTTATTTGTTGACCGATTTTAATGAAAATTCAGGGGTCCCTTCTTCATGACCTGAGCCTTCATATATATATATATTCCGGTATTTTAGACATTTTAAAAATCATCGGCAGATTCAGGCAAGCTAACTTGGGATGATGTTTTGAGTTTTTACCATGGTTTAAAACCCTCACCGGACCTATTGGTTTTTTTTTTAATTTAGTCCGAAACTTTTTGATGGGAAGGATTCACAAGGACAGAGCCACCGCTAAGCGAAGCTTGTTGCGATGACCCTGCCCTCTACCCTCCGATCGCGCAATTCCAGTTCTATGACAGAATTTGGAGTCCAAAGTTTAACGTGCGCACAAAGCCGCGCACGGCCGGTTCCCTCGCTGACTTCGTCTGGCTACGGGCTGCCACCAACCGCAACCATACCTGTCAGGAGGCCCATAAATGTCGAGCGCCCGTCGCGCTCCGAACCCGGACTGTAATAACCGGGAACGCGTGCTCTCACCACGCGGAGTCCAACGCTCTAACCAACTGAGCTACGGGACCGGCTACATACGCGCCGGCCGAGGGGGGGGGGCGGGTACGACCCCCCCCTCGCCGTTTCGCCCGTGGTGGAGCTAGCGCGTCGCGGAAAAAACGAGCGTGTGCGCCGTTACGAGACGCAGAGATTGGTACCCGATTTTAAGGTCCTAGGTCAACCGGTGACCTCTGAGGTCAGGTCAAGTGCCCAAGGTACGGTTCAGTTTTTGGTGAATAACTTCGCAAAAAAAAAACGGCCGCAGAGCGCCGAATTTGGCAGGATCGTGTTCGCCTCGCTCAGGCGCGTCGAATGATATACTTTTTGTCCGGGTCAGGTCAACTTGGGGTGTTGACCTCAAGTCAAGGTCAGGTCAGCACCCCCAGGTCACGAAGTTGGTAGAAAGAGGTCATGTCGCATATCATTCGATTCGGCAGGCCTTCCTGAGTCCATTGGTGGCTTTCCCGACTCGCTAGCTCAATTTGATCAAGAGTTATTGACGAAAAATTAATATGACCTTGATGACGTCATAAATGACGTCACGCAAGGTCAACATTGCAAAAGTGACGCATCTAACCTTGCAAGGAGTGCATCAAATCACGATTCTGTGTGCTTGAGATAGTTGGAGATCGTTCCCGGCGCCAGAATAGCAGTTTTCATTTTTCCCCATTGACTTATAGGTACCTACCTTTTCGTCGCGGGAAGTCAACTTGAGATGTTGACCTCGGGTCAGGGTCAGGTCGGCGTGCCCCAGGTCGCGAAGCTGGTCGAAGAAGGTCATGTCGCATATCATTCGATTCAGCAGGTCTTCCTGAGATGGCTTTCTTGACTCGCTGGCTCAATTTGATCGGGAGTTATTGACAAAAAACTCTTATGACCCAAGTGACGTCATAAATGACATCACACAAGGTCAATAATGCAAAAGTGAGGCATCGGACCCTGCAAAGAGAGCAATGGATCACGATTCCATATGCTTGAGATAGTTTGAGATCTTTCCAGGCGCTAAAATAGCAGTTTTCAAAAGAAGTTTTCATTTTTCCCTCAGACTTATAATGCTGAGGTCACGTGACCGACTTGACCTCAAGTGATCTTTAGGAAAAATCTAAGATATAGGTACAAGTGGTGAGACCTCTGGAGGATACTACATCTTGTAAGTTTCATCTCCCTGTGAAAGTTCCTTTGGCACTGAGGGCGTTGCAAAGTTGCGATATCTGAGGGCCGTGCAGAGGTTCACTTATAACGTCATAGCCCAGTGACCTGACCTGGCCTGAAAATGCAGTTGATGTCTCAAGATGCGACTTGGATGAAAGGTCAGGCATGCCAAGTTTTAGCTCTCCATCGCCGGTGTGTTCAAAGCTATCGCGAAAACCCAATAGGGGGGGGGGCGGGGGCGAGGGAAGGCACCCCCTCCGTCGGTGAGGGTTAATCTGTCAAACATAAGCCACTATTGCTTTGTGTCTTTTTCATTACTTAACCCGCGCCCCACTGGGGTCTGTGTATAACACGCCCTACTGGGGGGAGGGGGGCTATTCATAGCCCCCCCCTCCTAACTCCGAAACTACTGGGCCGATCGTCCAAATTCAAACGGCGTCTGATAGCCCCGGAAAAACTGTCGAGCGAAACCTAACTTAATTGACCTCGAGGTCACCGATGACGTCACAGGTCAGGTCAAAGTAAAAATTATTAGCATTTTGGCTTCACATTTTGGGCTCTGGCCGCCGTCTTGCAAGTCAGATCAGGCTCATTTTTGGTACACACACTCTTAAACAGATGCTCTAGATACCCTGAGGGTACCAAACTTTTACTTTGATTTTCAGGTCAAGGTCAGGTCATCACAGGTCACGAAAATATTTTATCATGCGTCGGTCACGTGACACATGTTTTATGGTCCATTTAGGACATAGATTTCGAATTTGATGTCGTCTGTGTCATTCGAGGTCATTTTGGGTCAAATTTAGCTTAGGTCAGGTCACTTTCAGGTCAAAAAAGGTCAAATTTTGAAGTTAAAATTTTTCAACAAAAAAGGTGTCTATTGGATGCAGTTTGAGCTCAGGAACACGATGGTGCCATTTATATTTGTGTACATTGTCAAATACGTACTGAAAAATTGATTTGAAAAATTAATAATTGTGAATTTTTTTTTTGCAATAATGCGTATAACTTGGCCATTTTTGAAGATATTTAGCTAAAACTTGCTAGAGTTAGTCATAATCATGCGTTCTGTCACATATATTCCGGTTTTTTTCGAAAAGTCAAAAACTTTTCTAAAAAAATATAAAAATACAAATTTTGAATATTATTATATCAACTTTTCGAAATTTTCAAAATTTTGAAAATACGCGATAGCAGTTTGATAGCGCGGTCAATTCTGAGTCCTTTCATGTAAAGAAATTGGATCTAGCTTAAAAACTGAGCTCTTGGGAGCGATTGCCGTGGTTCAATGTTTTGCGTCGAAATCGGACGAACATGACGTCACTCTGACGTCATTTTCGGCCGACCTATGGTAGCTACGAAGTTCAAATTTTAACACAAGGTGTCAAATTGATGCAGCCGAAGGTACTGTAAGTTTGGCGTCGATCCGTCAAGCGGTTTGGAAGTTATTGCAGAAAAACGGGAGGGGGGCTATAAATAGCCCCCCCAGTGGGGCGCGGGTTAACTGATAAATGACCTTTTAGGCACTATTAATTACTTAATGCACTCAAAATGTTTTTAACATGTACGATTTGTTTTATCGTCTTAATTCATTTGCTTTCAGGTTGTCAATTTTTGTCCTCGTCTACACCTTTTTAGGCGCAATTTCAAAATTTTAAAGACCAAATTCAAAAAGTTTACATTCAAAATGCACGTGAACGTTTTGAATTTGGTCCTTAACTTTTTGAAATTGCGCCTAAAATGCTGTAGATGTAATTCTTGTTTACCAAATGTTAAAACAATTTGGTATGTCCATGAAGTCTACTGATTAATTTGTGCTAGTGACCTAAAACATCTTAATTCCGCTAGTAAGCCACGACTTTATCTAACAAAAAATATCAAGTAATTTGTGCACGAAAGCATTGTCTCCTTTATCAAGGCGTGTACCTTTCTCGGCGATATTGTTAATTCTCAGCTGATGTGACATAGTCCCTCAACACCAAGATAGAAACACGAAACATTTATTTCTCACTTCTCGCAACACTAAAAGGACACAGAGGTTAGAACACATATGGATAGATACTATAACATAACTCGAAGCTATGAAAGAATATCAAGAACACCAAGGTGACTGAAGGAAAGACAGACTTATTTATGTTGTGTTTGTGCGTTAGTGTATGGATGGTGTTTGTGGGTGTTGTTGTTGTGTCATACGATGAGCAAATAAAGCGCTATTTATTCAATTTAACCTAGGCCTATTGCAATTGTGACGATCATGCTGTCTTTCAGCCATGACTTTGCCGGCAGTTTTGAACGAGTGACGTTGGCTTAGGCTGTCTTGCTGAGCTCTGTCTAGAAGAAGTGTTTGTATCCAAAGCCTGGGTAGCGCCGACTGTATCCATAGTGCCGGCTGTATCCGTATCCGGGGTAGTACCGACTGTACCCGTAGTGTCGGCTGTAGCCGCCGTAGCGGCCGTAGCCGTAGCCGTAGTCGTAATCGTCATCGTCGTAATAGCCGCTGGCGACGGTCACCGCCAGAAGACAGGCGAGCAGGAACACCAGCTGAAGATAGAGGAAAAAGAATTGTTAGTGGCCAGTGGGTACACAACACTTAACGTTTTACGCCTCTCAGCAGGCCGGTGCCGTGTATGACAGAATGTTTTACACTTAGGACATAGCTTTTGAATGGGATGAGCAATTTCAAGGAAGAGGTTCTTAGTGTGGTTAGAGCGAGGCCATGCAACGTCAATGGGTGTAAAGAACAGGGATGTAAAATGATTAGCTTCTTCGTCCCCATCAACCATATTTTCTTCATGCTAAAATTTGCTAAATCTGCAGACTACCACACGAAGGTTTATTTACAGAAAAACTAGCTTTGAATATGTGGGTAATATCTGTGATTGTGCAATTTTATAATTGGAGGTTCAACTATACCTATCTGTAGATCCTGTAAAATGCCAAATATGAGAGCTTAGAATCTTTGAATGAGGTACTTAACAGCCGTTTTCATGACGGCCATAATGGTATAGGGTAGACCGGGGCAAGTCGCCCCGCCGAGGTAAAACGCCTCACCGATGTTTCTCGGAACTGGCAGAGTTCTGGGGAAACATCCTCTCTTCTATAAAACGTGCACTATATGATCATTATATGAGCAGACTGGAAAGAAATTGTGATGACTCTTTCGGGAGATCTAGCCAAAAATGTGTTTTTTGAGTGATTTTTATGTTTTGTTGTCAGATTATGCATCATGGCGTTCTTTTATGGTCCACATCAGGTTAACGACTTTTATGTATTTTGAACAACTATTGTCTTGTAAGGGAAAAATTTAGCGCGACGCATACGTCGGTGAGGAGCGGCGGGCCGGAGTACCAGAGTGCGTGTGAGGCCAGTCCGCCGTACGATAGCCTCCGGCGGGAAAGGCGTGCCCGCCGGGTGAAAGGCAGCGGCTGGCCGGCACCTGGGACTCGCGGACCCGCCTCTCGGGGCATTTGCCAGTGCGGTGTCGTCGGGGCAACATCTTTCGGTAAGCGATCTTTTCCATCCCCCCTAAATTAACGCCGCAGCGCCCAGGCGCTGCGGAAGTCCCCGACAAATGTCCTGGATTTCATTTGGCTTTCCGACCCGCCGCAAATAGCGGTGGGCACTCCCGTTTATATCCAGGACAGTCTCACCTAAATTATATTCGTCGGCGCGGCGCGTAGCGTGAATGAGTGTGCGTTTGGAGGTGTGATATGGGTAGTGTGCGTGAGCGTAAGTGTGTGAACCATAAATGCCCCTGGTCTATCGATACGAAAATACAGCGTAATGGAATGTGAGCAAAATATTTCATTGGGGGAATGGCAGATGCCTGGCTGATACACGGTGAACGTGAACGAGCAATCATACGGGCCGCTTAGTTTAATACACCCGGGTGGCAGGCGGGCATTGTAGAGTAACTTTGATTAACGTAATGTCTGTACATGGGGGGAACCAATAAAAGGTTGCAGGTTCCGATGCGTGAAACCCCTACATAAAAATGGTGCATCGGCCGGGAAATCTTTCCCAACGGAGGTCCGGACGCCCGAAGTGTTCCTTCCGCCATAATCTGCGGTACGCGACAAGTGTAGAATTCCGCTCCCCGGGGTCAGTGCACATCGGTACCCGGGCGTATTTGCCGCTTCCGGGCACGCGGTCCACCGGCCCGTGTCATGCGCAACGGAAGGTCAGCGCTCCCCGGGATAAAACGCCGATCGGCCCTGTAACGCCGTGTGGGAGGTCCGGACGGAGCCCGGGTGGTGCAGAGGCGGATCCAAAGGACATGATGTGGGCGGTGATTTCCGCTCCCTTGGAGGTGGTTGCCGGTCGAGCTGTTCTTACTTTTGGCTTTAATATCTTGTGTAAATCTATGTTTCCATACTTTTCGTCACGTTCACACGCGTGAATCAGCCCAATTAAGGGGGGCATGGGGGGACAATTTGCCACCGCAATAATGAGATGAGAGATGAGGGCAGTCGGTTCGCGCGAGACCGTCGGAGATCGGGGATGAGATCGACGGCGTTCGGCGGTGCGGAAGAGTTCGCTCGGGCGGAATGGAATCCGCTTGTACGCGAGAGGAGTGCTCGCGTCGTCGTCGGTCGCGTGCGAGCGTGCAGGTTCGCCCGTTCGGCGGAATCATGAGTCAGGTGACGAGCTGTCACCGCTGGTAGTGATGGCAACGAGGAGGTCGTCACCGGTGAGTACCGAGGGCCGCGAAATACCCCGGTATTTCAGTGTTACATGTGTGGGCGTATGATTGGATCGTTTAATGTACAGGTATGTTACGGTTGGTGTGATTGAGTTAGTGCGAACAAGGTCATGTGTGGTCACGAAAAGATGCGGAAAATGGAATTTTACTTATTTGTCATCAATTTGCTTTCATGATTAGTAATCAATTTGCTTTCATGATTAGTAATCAATTTGCTTTCATTCATACACCTGATTTAACTATGTAGCAAATTGCTTCATGTGTCGCCTGTCATTCACGCCTCATAATGAGACCATAGAGGCTTTAGACATTTCCTGCGATTGCTTGAACAATCGTTTAGACCACAGGGCATTATATCTATAGTCTTAAGTGCAGTGCATCTTTGCTGTGCATATTAATTGCATCTTAAGATATTAACTGGAATGTCCATGGTTTTACGGGATATATAGGCATAATCGGTGCAGTGGATCGGGGAAATTATGGTTGGGTGTTTTTAAGCGGAGTTTTTAAGCGGGGATGACGATCCCTCCCGTAAAGCCGTGCACTCAGTGCACCTTGTGGCGCTGACGAGTTGCCATTAGGACGGCATCGAGGTTGTGCGTGTTTAAAGCGGGCAAGCTTAGCTCGGCAGCAAAGCCCTGATTAATTATTACCCCACGTTACACCAACATGAGCCACACATTCTGGCAGCTGCACCTTTTATATCCGGAACCCGATGTCAATTGGTCTGGCGCAAGGCGGTGCACGCCGAGCACATTCTCCTCTTTTTTAATCCAGGGAATGGATTAACGCTTACGGTTCTTTGCAATTTCTTCTGATGCAAACGTAAAATGTCTTGTCAAATCTTCAATGTTATGTTCAAAGTAGTTCATTCGTTCGTTCATTCCATGCATTTTGCGTTGTAATTTTGCTCAAAAAGTGGTAGCGATAACTCAACTAAGTTCAGTCACGAACCAGAAACAAGTTCTAAACAGCTTTGATTCCAGGTTTAATGGCAACGTTTATTAACCAGAAATTCTTCAAGTGGAGCGCTGAGTGCTCAGTCAAATGTGCCCTTATTTAAATTCCATGCTGCATAAGTTCGTATCTTCGTTATATAGAATTACAGTTTATGATTAAATGCATTGAGTAATATCGGATGAACCCAGTGCCCCTCAACCATTTCATGGTAACTCAGTAGGACGGTATCTCTTGGACCATTTTCGGCTTCGAATTGACAGATAATCCGGAATTAATCTTGTAGGATTTTCAATCCTCTGTAAAGTGTTGCCAGGCACTAATCGTCACCTTGCCGTCAAATGGAGCCTAAATCATTTCGTAAAATAGGAAAATTAATTTGTTCTGTATAGAAGAGCAAAACATGTGATTATTGGACTTTAAAATGCACACTCGAGGCAAATACATTTGAATCCACGTGGCGCGGATTCTATCCGTCGCGACCGCACACGTCATATTCGAGCCTCCAACCGAAGCTGACGCGGCGGGAGGTGACACAAAGCCCTAGTTGTTGAGCCGACTCCGTTCGGGACTGCGCTCCAGCAAATTCAGCAGCACGGGCCCATCCAGTGACTTTCCTGGATGGTTATGGTCTTGGCGCTGCCGTGCGCTGCCACACCAGTAACGGGTGATTTCATATGATGTATAATACCTATAGCATGTGCCACATTGTCAGTTCTCGCGTGTTGTACAATGCATGTTGTTGTACAGTACGGGTTAATTTACTGTGAAGCACGTGTTGTATTTCATATCATATCATATCATATTCCTGAGCGGTGTGTGGCTGCCCGGTTTAGGCTTCACTATCATCGGCCCGAGGGCAGATCGGATCCGCCTGATTGCCGATACCCACCTGATCAAGCAGACGGGTTGGATCCAACCCCCGTGCACCTACACCACGCGCACCTGTCAGCGCCGGCCCGAGCAATTATGGTCCGGCCACCGCGCCGCCCGCGCAAGGGGGTGGCGAGTCCGCGGCAGGGCCCTCCCCGACCGTCCCAGAGAAGGGACGCATTCCCATCGTGATGGGATCGCGCCGCCGGCCATGGGATCGAGCCGGTCGCCACGGGTAGGCCACCCACCCGACCGAAGGCGAGAGCCGCATTCACACGGCCGATCCTAAACGCCTCGGGGCGGGACGACCCGCGCCCCGCAGAGCGGAGGGCCGCCAAGGAGCAGCGGCGAACCGGGCCGATCCGCAATAACAACACCGGAGTCATTGGACTCGCCCGTCGCTGGCCGCCAGCTGCCGAGCACACCACAGAGGACAGTGGCTTTGTGTTGCCGGGGTGAATCAAAACCAATGCGTTTTGAGGTCTGAACGGTCTTTGGTAATTACTAGTCCATCATCTTTCGTCCACACTCCATAACATCCATAATTTTGAAAGATAAGACTTATCGTTCCGAAACGGACCAAAACGAGACAATTGAAACCAAAATCAGTCAATGCGTCACCGAAACCTTCTGATTAATCGATATACGGCGCAATGGCCGCCATCATCCTCCTGGAAAGTTGATTGCAAAAAGCGCCTCTTACAGCAACAATTAGCGTAATAGAAAGGGACATTCTTTATACAAAATGTTCGGTTTCAGATTCTCAATAAGTGTCCCGGCCATATTTAGCAAAGTGAGCGACACGCAAAAACGGGTGTCATTCCTAAGAATTCGCTTTCGAACTGCGGGTGGCGTTCTATAAGTTTTGAACATCGATTCGTAATGCACAATTTGCTCCAGGTTTTATCAGAGAACTTATTTGTTTTAACGGCAGCATCAGAGCTGAGGCGAAGGAACTCAGCGCGGTACCGTCAATGTATCGTCTGCCAGCTAAAATTTGGCTATCAGC